CATTTGTATGCTCTGTTCACCAAAGCAATATTAAATATATGTAGGCTTAAAACCAGGGCTTCCACGACTCGTTCCACCTCTCACTCCTTTAACCAACAAACTGTGGTATAGAATCATGCTGTTGTGTGGGAGGTTTTGAGAGCTTTTTGAGTGCCTTTTAAAATAGCATTAAATGACATTGAAATGTTGATAAAATACCCCAATAGTATATATTTTTAGAAAGGTAAATGGATGGGGATAAAGTAAGCTATATTGCCCACACCGTACAAAATTTTTGTTCAGTGACCTTGACCTTGGAGTGCTCAAGAAAAAAAAAAAAGACAAAATGTCTTGCTTTCAAGTGCTCATAACATCATTAATTTTTATAGATTCCATTAAAATACTTATAAAATGTGGTAACCAATTCATTTGTCTCTCAGAAAATTTGTAGTTTGCTAAGTTTTTTTATACAAATAAATCTCTGAAAGCATTTTTTGTAATTTAAGGTCATTTATTACTGAAAAAATAACACATTGCTAAAACCAAGTACAATATACAAAATCTCAGGTGAAAAAGTTATTATTGATAAAAAAAAATAATTTAAAAAAAAGAACTTTGGAACTGATTTGGGTTGTCCAACTATAAAATTTATTACTTCTGACCTATTATCTGTAGTTTCTGTGACTAAAATTCAGTCAGTCCTTGCCCAACCTCCAGGCCTGGCTCAAAGTCTAACAGTAGGCTAACTTCAGTATCACTAGGACTAGTATCAGATTCATTAGAAGAAGAATCCAAACTGAGATCGTCATGGGAAATGTTAAAATCATCATCAGTTTCACTTAAATCCTCTCCTAAATAGCTTTCAAAAATATTTCTATTAGTTCTTGTACTGAAGGCCCGGCCATAGCTTCATCCACTTAGAGTTGTGTAAATTGGGCATCTCAGCAAATGGGAACTAGTCAGTGCCTGACATCAAATTATACAGTTTAAAATATCTTTAATATAAAAATGTACATGAATTTATAGTGTTTTAACACTTACATTGATTATCAAAAATTAATTTGTTAACTATCAAGTTAGCTAAATGTGAGTCATATCAATATTAAAGTTCTGTACCAGCATTACCAAATTAATTCAGGCAGTTAACCATTACATGATGAATGAAGATGAACTGATTATAAAAGATTAACATTAAACATTTTGAAGTAAACATTATTTTATAAACCCTCAGAAAACCAAAACACAAATCTCTACTTTCTATGCAATGTCAATAACATAAATAATATTCTAAAAATATCTCTTCTAGCTTTTCTGTTTTTCAGATCATTCTTACCAATAGGAAGTCCTTGCTCATGCCGTGATTGTTCTGAATCAAACAAATTCTGATGATCTTCCCAGTGTCTATCACAAGCTCGACATAGGAAGTCGAACATGAAGTTTCCTCAGGAACAACCTGACCTAGGTTTTAGTTACATTAAATGTAAAGCATAATGAAATAAAAAATAATAAAATCCTAAAAATTGTATTTTAACTTTAAATGTGACATTGTATCAGAAAATAAATTTAAATAAAGTCAAATTAAAAAAAAAAAATGCATAACATTATGTTTTATTTCTAAATTATTTCAACCTAATTCCTTCATTAATTTTTATTCTGATCTTTTATTTTATTTTATCACATCTTCATATTACTTAAGAAAAAAAATGAATATGTTAAGAGAATAACAAATTCAAAATCTAATAAATACCACTTGTTTTACAATGGTGAGGTCTATTTATTTTATTCACTTCATTGGCTCCCTTTACAAGCACGGATTGACTACAAACTCTCTATTCTCTGGCACAACTTTTTCTCGAATTCCTGCCCTTCCTATCTTACTGAACTTCTTTCTGTCTATTCACCCCTTCGACAGCTGGGCTCCTCAGCAGACGGGCATATTCTTTCCGTACCCAAGACTGGCACAAAAACATATGATGAACGATCTTTCTCTTTCTGTGCCCCTAAACAATGGAATTTTCTCCCATTGCATATCCGCAATATACCGAACATTACAGCCTTCAAAACTGCACTCAAAATGCATCTCTTTAAACTCTACTATCCTGACTGATTCTCCCCCTCTCACCAATAAACGATGCTGCTGGGTGCCGTCCATGGCTTGACATGTAAATAGTTCTGGAATTGGTGGAGTGAATATACATTTCTTTTGTTTTATTTAATTAATGTATGTTAATTAATTTTTAAAGTTCATGATTATGTTTGTTAAATTGTATGTACAGCGTTGTGAGCCCAGCCCTAGGCCTAAAATTATTTGACATGTGTTAGGCTCAAGTCTCAATAGATATAAAGTTTCAAATCAGGTGCAGTTTTCAAAGACATTTTTCCACTCAAATTAGCATGAAAACCTGTTAGAAATATTTTATTTGATTAAAGGAAGCAAAGCTTAAAAATTAAAATCATTGATCAGGACTAATAACCTGTCTTTGATTTCTGATCAAACCATCTTTTCATATCTTTTTTTGACATAGGCCTATTATTCAAAGTTTTTGGTTTTCCATTCTTAAAAGTTATCATTGAAAGGCATGTTCAAAGCTTAACTGAAATCATAAAGAAAAATTTCATGCAATGTAAGAAAAAAATGTTACTTCCCATCATTTTGGTGGTTGCTATCTTGTATATAGGCCTACCTAACTCATTGCCTCCAGCTGGAAAAAAAAAAATATTTTACAGTAGAACTGTATCAGCCAAGAGGTAAGGTTAATGCCCCCTGAGGGCAATTTGGGAAGAACCCCACAATTTACCTTTTCAATTTACTCATTTTGAAAACAGCTCTCTCTAAAAAAACATGATTTAAGGTGCCATGAGAGCTAAGGGGCAATCACTAAGCAGATGTACAATTTTGATCTCCCCTTACTATCAGCGTCTTTCATCATTTAAGCTTCATTGTACTACTGCCTTCTTCACTCTACTACTGTCTACTTCACCTTATCCTATTCTGTCTACATTACTCTACGTCTGTATGTTTCATCCTACTCTGTGTCATGTTAACACATGGTTTATAATTATAATGAAAAGGAAAAGACATGGAAATTATTAATATTTTTTAGCTTGCTACCTTTGTTTTCAATGAAAATTCGGTTCATTTCGTTGCTTCTATCCATATCAAAATCCTCAAATGCTGAGGTTCTACTGGGATATGTACTGTCAAGGATAAATAGAACATACAGCCATGTCTGCATGAATCATTAAAATAATATCATTTTTAAATCTTATTTACGTAAAATATCAATTTATATTAAAATACATCTTTATTTTAGCCATCTATGAAGTACACGATAAATTCAGAGTGCATGAGTTAATTAAAATATTTTAAAGTCAAACATATCTATGTCCAGAAAGCCTAGATTTTACATTAAGTGTGGTTTAAAATGCAAATCAGGGGCTAAAAAATCAATACATCTCATCATAATGATATTTTTATTTGATTATACCATATTTCTATATTTTACCCTTACTCATTACTAGGAACATTTAGTAAAAAAAAAAAACGTAAAATGTTTTGAACATTTTATGACTATTTCATTTGCAAGCCGGAGTAACTGTGACTTAGAAAAGAAAAAACAAAATTTTAAAATGCAAATCAGGGGATAAAAAATCAATACATCTCATCATAATGATATTTTTATTTGATTATACCATATTTCTATATTTTACCCTTACTCATTACTAGGAAAATTTAGTAAAAAAAAAAAAAACGTAAAATGTTTTGAACATTTTATGACTATTTCATTGGCAAGCCGGTGTAACTGTGACTTAGAAAAGAAAAAACAAAATATCAGTGGAAAATAAGTGAATTTTTTTATTTGAGCAACTTGTTAATATAGAAACAAATTTTAATTGTAAAAAAAAAAATAGTTTTGGCACATTCATGCCCCTTGTATGTCAAATAAAAATTTCTGGTACTAAATTTTTGTTTCAACCCTTGAATTCTAATGAGCTCATAATTCTAAATAATTAGAAATAAAATGCAAATAGGAATTTTAAATAAAAAAAAAAATCAATAAAATAAAGATTCAAAAGAAAGGTAAAAGTTTTAAAGAAAAAATGTTTAAAGAATGATTTACTCCATAGTATTAAATGTTGAGACATTGATACATAATAGAATGTCTTCTATTTCTTCATTTAATGCGTACTTGTCTACATTTTTAAAAAAAAATTTCGTCATCTAAATCTCGATACACGTCTTTGATATCTCACTAGATCTAGTCTCATACCAGACCTACATTTAACACATAACTTGACGCATATTTGGACACCCAACCTTTACACACAACTTCACATGTGGACTCTTAACTCTGACACCTAAGTAGATCCATATAGGACCCAACTATGACACATAACTTGACCCATACTTGGACACCAAACTTTGACACATGCCGTGACCCATTTCTGACCCAACTTTGACGCATGACTAGACCCATACTTCGACACCCTTATGAATGACACACAACTCACCCATACCTTGACACACAACTCTGAAACAGTAAAGACTTTAGTAAGAAAGTAATGCTAGAATGACACAACCATTGAAACAGACATTCATCTCCTCCACATCACACTATAAATCTTATCACTTAACATTAAAATCGTTTCTTGCAATTACATGGCTCCAAGTGAAGCACCTTGCCTTACAAACTCCTATTCTTAAATTAACAGGCACGTGTGTATGGTTGCAGAGAGTCGCAATAGGTACACATCACAATGCAGTATAAACCCGTTTATTCTTAAGTATTATTCAGCGCTAGTTACTGTTATTTTAGAGTTTCTTAGAAAAAAAGCAACAAACCCTAAAACAAATTCCGATCTCTGTTTTCCATAAATTTTTTCGCGACCCGGTATTTTTGCTTTCGTATCCCGGCATTTGGGAAATGCTGCCATGAAATAAGGAAACAAAACCGTGCTACTAATCACCATCACAATATTGTGAATAGCTTCCCTTAGAAAATCTGTAGAAGTTTGTTTGGTTTATTTTATTCCTTCGAAGTTGTAGTACCATCGGGCACGGGCATAATCAGACTCACCATACCTTTTTGAATAAATAAGAACTATCCATTCCATCTGCTCAAATTTTAACTTAGTCATGCACTATAACTAAGTATAAGTGATTAAAGTAGACAGATTCATTTAGTACCGTATACAGAATGGGCTCGAATTCTGGCGAAAAAATCAAAATACCCGTGAGTGGCCGAGTTAGAGTTGCTCTTACTCTTATTTAATATTTACTATTCTATATACTATATACCTTAGTGAATTTTATTTTTTAATTTATAAAATTAATAAATCACAAGAAGGTCCTAACTATAACGTCTAGTTTAAATTACTCACTATCTACCATAGAATTGACAGGGTGGCACTAGACTGACTAGAGGGTGGTGAATGGGTCCACCGCCAAGGGACCTGCGCTTCTACTGTACACATCCCCCTCCCTCTTTTTTTTTTTTTTTTTTTTTTTTTTTTTTATTTTGCCCTTGCCTTACTTATAATAAATAATGCTTATATTATTAATATTATATATTAATATTTCCAGGTTGTGATAATTCATAGTTCCTAATTTCCAGTTAACACAGTGTATGAATGTACCAAGTTAATCAAATGGTCAATCAGTACATTTACCTCATTATCCCTCCAGGTTCAACTGTGTGAAGAGAAGGGGCCATCCATAAATTAAATGAAGTCAAGTGTGTGTGTGTGGGGGGGGGGGTTTAGGTGGGTCACATTTTTTTGACAATGTGGGACAAAGGGGAGGGGGGGGGTTAAAGCAATGTGACATCATGCAGAACATTATAGTAAAAATAATGCACTTAATAACACTAAATTAAAGACCCTTTTAACATTATTCTTTTAAACAAAAATTATAATTATTTGATTTTCAAACTACAATCACTGAGAGAATCAGTACATGTATGCGAGGTCCGAGAAAGGGCATCTGATCAAGTTACAGGATGTCATGGAGGAGTAGATTCGGGGTGTAGTGACTGACAGTCGTGAGAATTTATGTGGAAATGTGGAGTTGGGAATCATAGATTTGGGGGCTAACTCAGGACACTACCTTTTCACTTTCTTTATGGAAAAAAAAATATTGGACTGGGGAGGAGGTGGGGGCGATTTTAGCAAATGTTCGAGGCCAGGGATTTTTAAATTTTTGCAGTGCTGCATCCCCCCTCCCCCCCAAACTTCTAAAAATCCCAACATTGTAAAGGACAGTAGTGGTCAGATGTACTTTTATGGGGGGTAGGGTGCAGAGGTTTGTGACGTTAAAATGGGGAGGGGTCTAACTTTTTGTGACAATTTAATTTGTGACAATGGGGGAAAAAAGGGGGGGGGGGATCCACAAAATTTCCATGACGTCAGTTATGGATGGCCCCGAAGACCACATAGTCTGTGAATAATGAAACTGGTTCAAACAAAGATTTAGGGGTGTCATATTCATAATATTCTACGATGTCATGTTTGGTGTCAACACCATCAGCCGTCAGCAAAATCTTGCATACCTCGACTTTGCAACTTGATGTAGCCATTATACATGTCAAATGTCTAATCTGTTTATTCATCAAATAGAAAGAAGAACAATTTACATCTTAAATGATCACTGGAAAGAAAAATTGCATCAGGAACAAACATTGAGCTTGTGTTTAAAGGACGACGCAATATGCGAAGAAAGGGGCAGTTTGAATATGAATTAAGAGCTGAGAGATGCTTCACGTCAGAAACCTTTTTTAGTCGAAAAGTCTTTTTCAATTTTTGTGATCTTTAAAATGTTTTCCTACCTTGTGTACTATGCTTTATGCTGCTTTAACCTGAACTCAGTAGTCCCCAAATGACACTAATTGGATGTTCTGCTAATTGGATTGTTTTTCAAATAATGCAATCACGAAAAATTATTGTTGTCACCATAGCAAGTGCAAAAATAGTATTTTAAAATTAAAGTTGACAAAAATTGCTTTGAGATCATCATTGTCTTACATGTAAGCCATTTGATTGAATGGATTTTCTACTTTCACAACTAACCCCTTCATTACCGCTGGGATTTTTAGGGGAGGGGGGGACGACATCGATTTTTGCTGACTTGGCAATAATTTTTTTTTTTTTTTTAAAATTAAAAAAAAAAAAGAAAATGAAATTTTTTGTATATTTCATTCTCTATTCGATTCGCTTTTTAACTTCTCTATATATTAACAAATAAGGAAATATATAGCATTGAAATTTAACATAGACTTGACATCCTTGGTTTTTCAGAAAAGTTCTTTCGCTTTTTGTTATGACGACACGTTAGCGTCCTTGGTAATTGAAAGTGGGTGACCATGACGTTGCATAGACGTCGTCGGTAAGGAAGTGGTTAAACAAGACATTGCTACCACCCTTGACAATGATGAACCATCAATTTTTTTCTTTTTAAGAAGCTACCAGATTATTGTCTTGAAATCAATTTTTTTACGGGTATGTTAGCCCTATCTGATACAAATAGGGCCTACTCATACTCTTCTTCTACTTTATTAGTAAATTATAAATACTAAACTTTTTTCAGTGATACACACAAAAGCAGGTCACAGGAAACATTTTACGATTATTTTAATTTTAGATGAGTATGCCATTAAACATTTTGAGTAAATGGTCTGAATAATAATAAGGGAATCATTGCCTTCAGTCTTCAGCCCAGTTACTATTTTAAAAATTTAAGAATTTAGTTACATGAATTTTAAATGCTAAATAGTGTCAAAGCAGGATATGGGCATGCCTATATTAATATCAAAGCAAATTATTGAAATCAGACTATATGTAAATAAAATTAGTTATGAATATATACAAGTATTTGAATATTGTAAACAATTTGTTAAAATAAGAAAGATTTAATTTCATCAGCAAACAGATATTTGAAAACACCTAGTAATATATCACAGGACTGAAGAAAAGAAAAATAATTGAAAATATATATTAATAATGTTTTGAGTGGGCATACTGTCTAAAAACTAATCTAATTATTTTAAAACTTGTTTGCAGTATGATGCAATTGAAGATCACATACACTGCTCCATTTGCCTGTCTGTGATTAGAGGTGCTGTTTTAACCCCTTGTGGACATCGTTATTGCTGTCGTTGCATAACAGAATGGGTTGGACAGAAGCATAACTGCCCTTGTTGTAACAGTGCTTTGACAACTTCTCAGTTTTATTTTGATGTTCAATTTGATTCCTTAGTTGGTGTGTTGGTTTTCTTTTTTGATCATAAGTTTAATTTTTTAAGGGTATACTCAGAACTCGGATACATGTTTATAAAAGGGTTTATAAAATCCTTTAATTAAAAATTTTTTCTTTTAAAAAATATTTTATTCTATTAAAACTGTCTTTTCATTAGTTAGACTTTTTAACTTGGCCTATAGATTTTGATCAGGCACAAATCATGGTTTTTAAGGTGAGATGGGCTTAACTTCTTAGGACTTCTACTTATTATATTGTACTATCACTTTACCATATAGACCTACAGACAATTATAAGTAACAAGGCCAAATAGAGGGAAACTTATTTTTAAGTTCAAATGTTTTGCTCATAACTTGTTTTGTTTTTTCGGTTGTGATGAGTCCACCAACCATTGCTGTATCTGATATAATGGGTGTGATTGTCCGCCCATCATTGCTTTTATCTGCTATAATAGGTGCGATGGGCCCTACACCATGTCGGTATCTGCTATAAAAATAGTTATGTCACCGCCCTAAAATTGCCAACGTTAGTTTTCAACTCATTTAATTTAAAACTGTGACAAGATAGAAACAAAAATTATTATGCAAAAACAGATGAAAGAATTAATTTTAAAAAAAGGTAGCATCAGATTAGAGTAAAATTTTACACTTTTATTGACAGAGGATGTCCTAATTCAAAGAGACAAAGCTGAAGAAGCTTTCTTTGACCAAATGTTTCACCCAGGTGAGATATTTTCTCTTATTTTTTTATTAAAAGTAAGAGATGAATTTTCAGGAGTTATTTATTAACTAGATTATACCCCTTTGAAAAAATTATCAGTTCATTATTAAAATCTAAATCAATGTACAGCTACCTCTAGAAAGGCAGACAAAAATAAGCTTATTTTTGCTATTAATCACAATAATGAAGATATTATTATTATTATTTGGTTTAGGGAGAATACGCATAAATATCAATTATAAATGGGGGAAGAAACAGCAGTTCATCCTCCACTGATTGGCAAACATCTGACCATTTTTACCCACACTTGAGAAATTAGCATCTCATCATCATCACGAAAAGGGAATGTTTGTAGGTACAGCAATGTTGAATAGACCAGTGACATTACCAGTTCTAGCGAGAAGTTGGCCATTAATGAATAAATGGAAGCATCAAAGGCTGATGCACCCAAGTGTTTCAAAACACAAGTCCCATATTTTTCTCTCATCATCGGCTCAATAAAATGTTAACACCGTAATGAGAAATTTTAAACCTAAAAATAAACATTATTAAGATATAAATTGAAAGCCCTTTGCTTGAGTATCTGACACCCATATGAGGAGAAGAAAATCAAGGTTTCCATAATCATTGTACAAAAGTATACCTTTGGATTTAATTAAAATATAGGATGAATTCAAAATGCACACAAATTGTTCAACTTTTTATTTTGCAAGGAATATTTATTACATGTTCAGTCAGATGAAGAAATTGGCAAATTATTTTATAGTGCTTTTTAAAATTTTATTATATTTAAGCAGTCATAGATGCTGCTAACAAATCTCCATTTGAGGAAATACTTAAAAGTAAGTGTTTTTGTTTTGAGAAAATAAACTGGTGTTTCTTTTACAATAATTATTTTGGCTAATTTACTTTAAAGTGGACATAAAATAATATTAGATAGCTTAGAATCTAGTGAAGCTAGTTATTTATGTAAATCAATAAAATCATGTATCCATCTCTTAACAGTATATTCTTTATTGGCATGTTAATGTTTTGTTCTGTTTTTTCATATTCTTGATATCGATTACTAACTGAATAGCCATTAGTGCATTGTTATTTTAAAATTTAGAAATATAACTTATAAATTATTTGTATTTGCCGCATAATTATTTTTATTATTAACAGCAACAAAAAAAAAAAAATGATTTAGAAACCCAAGAATCCACAGCACAATTTCATTGTAATTTAACTTTCAGATGAGGCATTCATTTGCCACAATATCTTACATCAGTGGTTCTCAACCTTTCAAATGCCGCGACCCTTTAATACAGCTCCTCATGTTGTGGCGACCCCAAACCACTAAATTATTTACCTTCATACTTTATATCTGTAGAGCATATGTGTTTTCAGATTGTTCTAGGCGACCCCCGTGAAAGGGTCTTGTGACCCCCAAAGGGGTCGCGACCCACAGGTTGAGAACTGCTGCCTTACATGAATGTTTGTTCACTAGCAGCAGGCTGAACCCACAAAGAATAAATAATATCTTAACTATGAAGATAGTATGATGTAGGCCAGAGGCACCACTAGGGTTTGTGTCACCTGGTAAGGTAAACTTATGCCCCCCCCCCCCCCCCCAATTTTTTTTCCTTCGGATCCATCCCTACACTTGGTGAGACTTTCCCCTGGCATAGGCCAGATTTATTGATGTGGAGATGGTTGTTAAAACTAAAAGTAAAGAAGCTTTTAATAAAATACTTAAAAATCTTTAAAATCTTAATAATCAATGAGCTTATGAAATATTTCAATGTATTTTTTATAGGACACATGAAAACCAGTTTACTGTCACATCAAAGGTATTTTGATGTAAGTTAAAATCAATTTTCTCTTTGAGCTTTTGTTCAACTTAACTTTAAAAAAAATATAATTTATTAAATACTTATTTAAAAACTTTGGCTAATTATTTCTCATTCAAAAGTTGAAAAATGTCATGAATATAATTAAAAAACTATTTGCAGTCTTTATACTTGAATTTTTTTTAGGCGAATAATCTTGAATTTTTAACCATTTGTCTTCCAAATTTCCTTATGCCATTTTAAGATAGGGATTAATTGCTGTCAAGTTTTCATGTGGGATATTTTTTTTACTTCACAAGTAGTAAACTATATCTCTTGACAATTGACAGACTTTTTTTTTACAGCTTAAAGTAATAATTTGAAAAGATTTTTTACCTGGAGGTTTACTGATAAAGTTCTAATCATCAATGATGAGCAGAAAACCAATTAAGAAATATGATGAAATGTTGAGAATTTTCCCACTAAAATGAAGCCATAGATATTTCAATCTGGTATGGTTTAAACTAGTGGAGAGAATACAGTAACTGGGAGGAGGTAAAAAAAATGAAGTTTAAATTATAAATTGAAAACTCATTTTTTTGGTCCCTTTTAAATTAATACAAATAAAAATACTAAACTGCTTATGTAAAATGCATCGACTAACATTTTTAAATTACTTTTTTCTTACTTCTTTAATTTAAAAAGTTATATCTTTTTTATGTTATAATTAAAATAACCCACAGAAGCTGAGAGAAGAATGTCACCAAAAGCTAGCACTTCTTGACAAGGGGTTAAACAACTGTTTTCAAGTTGATGATGTACCCAGTAATGCAGATTTGTTGAAAGAACATTTACAAAAAAATCTTGAAGAGAGCGAAAAACTGGTGGCAGATGCTTTTGACAGGTTGCTATTTTATTTTAATTTCTTATAAAACAATACTCACAAATCAGACTCAGGACTGTTACTAATTTTATTTAAGAAGTTTCTGCCTATGCTGAAACAATTTATTAAGTAAAAAATGGGATATGTTATGTCCTCATGCAGCCCTCAACACTGGCGGTTGCATGATGCAACTGCCAAGCAAATCTACTTCTGTCTTTCAGCTCTTTCTGTAGGAACTGTCTGCTTGGTCAGAATTCTGTTCCAAATATTGCTATGTGCCATGTGTGCCATCAGACAGGAATGGGCCTTTGCTAGAGACCCAATGAGATAATAAATTAAATTATTTTGTCTATTCTACCTATGCTGCTGTCTAGGAATGAATGAAGCTTTATGCTCACTGTAAGTTAAGATCAATCCAGAAACTTTTTGCAAGGGATGGGTATTTTGAATTTCACTTACCCTCTTCGGCAGCCTTATCACTTCTCAATAAGATTTTTTGGACATATTTAGAATTACATCCTATAATTTTGTTTGTTTGTTGTATGGTATCTAATTTGTATAAAAGCTACTTGAATCTAAATTGTCTATGTATGTATTTATAAAAAAAAAAATGTTTCAGGTATTTAACTGAAAATGTACCAAGCATAGAAGTTCTCCCAGTTAAGGTGTCTGTGTATATAGCCGACAAAGATGTTAGAATAACAGATGTTATTTTAAAACCATCTGAAAAGTAAGTGGCATATTCCTGAAAGCAATGTTTTAAATAATTTCTAAAAAAATTACTGATGCTTCGAGAATATATTTTATAAATGCCATTATAAGTGCTTTAAAAATTAGGATCTACTGCCAAAATGTTTTTGTTTAATAAAATGCATAGTACCTGGCCTGGAAAAATCTGTTTTAAAAGCAAACAAATCTGCTCAAAGTAAACTAAGAGATAATATATAAAATTTGCATTTTTGTTAATATTTATAATAAGGCTAGCACCATTTGATGATTTGAAGGAAAGTGAATCGTAAATGTCCTTTGACAATCGATTTATAAATAGGGCTTAACATAATGGTTTTGAGTCTATTATGTTAATTTTATTTTGTACAATTTATTTGACTGTCATCACAAAGTTTGTCTGATATCAAACCATTCATTGAGTCTGCCATGCAAGAGAGATGTGACGATATAATCTCCTGGCTAGATGATGGCGGAATTCGACTACTCTTCAGGTAATTTTTTGCTTGTTTTCTAGTAAATTGTTTTAAATATAAAATATGTGTACACATAATTATGAGAATTGTCTGCAACCAATTGTTTTTTTTAAAGGGGGATATTTAAATTTTTTTGTTAATCTTTTTAAACATCAACCTTTTGACTCCCATGAGCCAAACGGCACTGGCCTGACGATTTTTCGTTTCTATCCCATAAGCCGCAATTTAATAATAATTTTGTAAAAAGCTGAAGTTTTTTTAAAGGTTTGATTTCACGTTGCTGTGTTGGGTGAACCATATTGCTTTGTGATTTTGTGAGCTGTTTCATGTTTACAGCCTGATTTGTTTATTTTGATTGAGTTTTCGATCGCCTACTTGCTGACTTTGTAGTACAAATGAGTCAAGTGGCTCAGGCACATGCCCCACTAGAGATTTACTGCTAGTAAAGCTCTAGAACAAATTCAAATACTGCGTCATGATAAAACAAATATTAGGTTTACATCTCACGCATCTTTGTAAGAAAAATGTTGACAACCACTTGTTGAAAGTTGGTGTAACAAAGGTATTATTGGTGGCCTTCAGAAACTTGAAATGTTTACTAATACTTATAATAGTAGTAAATGTACTGAGGTCATCCACCTTCAAACAACTGACTGAAAATTTATCAGAGTATGTGGATGACAAGCCTCGGTTACCTAAACAGGGGCTAGAAGTTGACAGCAAAGCAGATAATTTATGTTGTAACAAAGTTACAGTGTTAATCCAAGTCTACATCACACTACACAAACTCAAAGATAGATTGTCTTATCCTCATGAGAGATGACATTTCATGGTGGATATTATTATATGTGTGCAAAAAAAACACTTCAGTACTAAAGAAATCACTACTCAGTGTTTTGAAATTTCAAGTGTGTAACCAGACAGGATTACAAAATTTTTAGCCATTCAAATCACCATAGGATAACACCCAAAGCCTAATAGACTAATACTCAAATGTGTCTGTAATAGTACATCAAGATGATGAATCAAAAGTGACTTTAGTTAATACTGAATGTTCTCCATTGTTATCCAAGGAGCCAGCAAAAATAGAGCCTTTATTGAATCCTTCTTATGATTCTGGGATTATCCAATTATGACAGTTTATGGCAGTTTATCAACAGTTGATGATGGCATAGTGATTTGATTCAAATTCAGGTGGAGATATCAGAAGTACAATAACTAAAGGATCAAAACTTTCAGTTTATGCGACATGGTCTACACGGAAGACATACTATGGCCATAAAGTAGCTGTAGTCTGAATGAACATCTTTAGCTATTACTGTCCATGATTCATCTACAGTCTATCATCCTGATATTGATCCATGATTCTTCACTGGCATCAATGTCTTTTATTTTAAAACCATTGTAAGAGGGTTATAATTTTACTCATGGTAATGGTAATATGATTAGGTTGTGTTTATTGTAATTTCGCTCTGATTTTTTTAATCCTTGGTTGTGTTTTACTAAAAAGTGGGCAATTTTTTAAATCAATTTTGAAAACATTTAGATACTTTAGAGTTCATTAGATTTATTATCAGTTAAACAATGCTAAGAGTGATTGTTGAAAAGTTGTAAATTATAAAGTGCTGGTGTTTTGCAGATTTTCAGTAATTTTATATTTGTGAATTATTTGCGTCTATTTTTGTTCTTGCTTTTGTCAATGATTTTTTAAAATTGATTTGTAGTCCAAATTTATATCAAAGTCATATTTAGAAAAGAACATTCAATTCCCTTTCCATTGATATGCAACACCTGGGGCCTATCTCTTATTTGAATCTCAGGATTTAGATTTAAGTTCAACAGTGGTCTTGTTTTTCTACTGTGTCTGAGAGAGCTTGGTAAAACCATGGACATACTCTCAGGAGTCAAAGAGTTTAAAGTATTTTTCCACATGTTGTTTTGGCTCAGTTAACATAACTCATGCTTTTTAAACCTAAAATTATACTATTGTGTATTGAATCCTTGATATCAAAAGGTGCAAAAATATTACACTGTCATCAACCCTTAAATGTCTTGTTCATAATACAGTATGCACACATTTTTCGCAAGTTTAAGTTATTAAGAATAAGTCCTTCAGGTTTATTATTAGCTTCTGATAAAATAACCCATAATAATAAAGTTGATCATCTGTAAAAAGTTTTTTGCCTTATGTCAGCCCCCCACCCCCTTCAGCCACATGAAGAAATTTGTATGGGTCTGCAAGCTCCACATTATTTAATAATTGGACGCTAACTGTTATTTGAGAATTGTTTGGGTAGTATGAATGCTTTCCTCCTTTCCCAGGAGTAGCGGTTTCATCAAAAATCCTTTATTCAGGGAAACTGATTGAGCCACCTCTTTGGCTACCCCTGATCAGGTAAAGGGTCCCCCTAATCCCCCTTTATCTTGTCAAGGTTATTTCTTTTAAGGGTTTAATGCTGCCCAATGAGCCTAATTTTCCTTGGCAGCACACTGTCTATAGGTTCTTACTTAAAGTTGGACATCCCTGCTTTAAGTTTGAGTTCAAAATTTCTGAATTGCAATTACCCTTTCCCTGCCCATGACTGATTTCTGTTGGTTTTACATTTTTTGTTCCAGTCCCCTTGCCAAAAGTTCTCACTACAACATTGATGAAGTCTGCAAGAACTTACCAAAGAGAAATGATGTACATTCTTTGAATTGGGATTCACGACCTATTTTCCAGTGCAACATGGCAAGAATCAATTTGAAATTGTTTAATTGTTACTTTAGAAGTTGATATTTCAAAATTCATTTAATGGTTACCTTAGAGTACAACTTTTTTTTTTTGATGTGCTTCAATAACACAAGTCTCTTATGAAGGTTTTTTGGGTTGGTTAAAAAAAAAATATAGTTCAAATCTTTCAGCGACCTGGAAGTGAAATAGTACTCCAAGGAGTGTTCAAGTCCCAGAGTGATGTTCCAAAACAATGTTTTGTAAATGTTTTTAATACAAGTGGACCACAATCTGTTGACTACTTCTCTTGCAATACATGTAATGTTAAATGTAAGTACACTAATAATATTGTCATAAAAATATAATTAATGTGACAGCATAGCATATCTTTATTAATCAATATGGTTTGATTTCGGTAAAACTGAGTGCTATATGACTATATGTCTTTAAAGTTCAAAGTGTAAAGCTCTTTTCTATAATTTGAACATCTTGAGATTTGCAGTGAATTGCTACACGCCACAAAACTAAAAAGCTTAAAAGTGTAAAAAAAAAAGTACAATGATAATTTTGAAAAAAAAAAGTTTTTATTTGAAAATTTCTGTAAATATGTTATGAAACATAAGCACTTAATGATGTTTTAAAATGCATGAGGAAAAACAAGAAATACAAGGGGCAAAGATACTCTGGGCAAACCATATTGTAATAAATTTACCAGTTAAACAACTTCCTTCAGATTTAAAAGGATATCTCGGATTAATAACTGAATATGATATTTAATAAAGATGGTTCTTTGAAATAATCTACTTTAAATTTTGGGTTCAAAGATGTTGCAGTTATATTCAAACCACCAACCCTTGCACATGTCGAGCGTCATAAAAGATATTTAAAATATATTTGTCTATAAAATAGCTAATCTACATGTTTATGTGATTCCATAGCACTTTATTTTGTTCATCTGTTTCTTTCATATTTTTTAATATGCTAAAAGAAAAATCACTGATTAGGGTTAAATATACTTTACTATACCTTCTATTGACTTATGAATATAATTCAGGATTAACAGGTTTGATACAATCTCACATATTTCTTAATAACAATATTGTAACTTTCTACAAACAGGGATTTGTAAATCTTGCATACAGTGTTGTCATAAAGGTAAGAAATAGGGATGTACTTGGCCAGTGATATTTCGGTTGATTAATATCTGAAGTGTTTGTTCATTTTGCCTCAACGTCCATTTCTATTTAAAAAAAGAAATAAAAAAGTTGCATTAAAATTACTTATTATCTTTGTGTTTTTTTTAATAACAAAATGTAAAATTAATCTGCTTGACCAATAAAAGTGATATACATTTGCTAATAAGTTAATTGTTGAGCTAATAAGTGTATATTCATTTTTTTCTCCAATATTATTATTACCAAATAATCTTACCATATGTTAATGTTATACAAACGATTATATTTTTCTTCCCTTCAGACCACAATGTGATGCCATTTGTGATGAATCATGTTCCAACATGGTAAATGTTCATTTTTTTTGTGTTCGCATATTTCCTTGTCCATCAGTGGTGTAACTAAAATGCTGTGGGTCCCTACAGTGCTTAAATGAGGGTTCGTAGATGAGGGTTGGGGGGTTTGGAGGTTAGGAGAGCTTGACCCAACCAAGTAAATAATAAAAATACATGTGGGTATAAAAATAGGAACTTAGGATATTTTTAGATGATACCAAGTTTGATCCATTTTTCTCAACATGTGATTGAATGTGGGTCTAGATGACCTAAAGAGATGATACTATATAATAAGAGTAAGCCCTCTGTTAATTTCAACCTATCTTGGATCTTGACTCTGTTTATGGTGAGCCATGTTGGCTTTTTGGTCATCAAAAAAAAATTTAAAATGAATCAGTGCAAGTAAAACGCAAAATTATCAATCGTAATGACCATCAGGTTTAGTGAAGTAACAGCATAGAAAAACTTGCTGTGGGGCACACCTCGAAACAGATTAAGTTTACAAATTTAACTTTTAAAATCATACCTTGATGAAAAATGTTTGTTTAAATAATTTCTCTGATTTTTTATTTTTAAAAGACTTCTTAGATTTATTTTAAATCTAACCACGTATTTAATTATTTGTAAATATGCTATAGTAATTGATAGTGATACTTTAAATTATGTACTTATATTTTTTCCTATTAGGGCATGTTGCTATTGTCCAAAGAAAAAAATGTGCTTAATTCAAGACAAATGAAAGACACTACCTATAAAGCTGGATAAGTGTGGATGATACTGTTGTAACCTCAACTAAGATTTTCATATTTTTTTAGGTTGTAGATATTGTTAGGCTCACATCTAAAATGAATACACCAGCCTTCCAGAAAATTTAAGCGTCTTCTTAGTATATATTTAGAACCTTTATATATATTTTTTTTTTTTTGCATCTACAAATATTTTTTTATAATGTGATTTTTTCATGTTTAGAAAGAAGACTTTAATTTTCATTTCATCCTAAATTATTGGTCACTGAAACATATGATTTATTTTTAAACATAATAAAATAACAAAACTGAAAACTGAAAGAAAAAAAAAACTTAATGAAAAGTGTAAAAGATTTATTTTGGATCATGTGAGAACCTGCATCAAAATGAAAGAGATTATTTCTGCCCTCAAATCATTGCACCAATGTGGAACTTATATTAATACTATGACAGGGAGAGATGCAAATGATTTGCAGCTGGGTGGTTCAGTGAGGATCTATGAATGATTGTGGATGTGCAATGTGAATGATTGTGTGACTGTCACAGTTTGTGTGTGTATATACATATGTCAGTACTTTTCCCCCTTTCCCATATGCAAATTCTTCTTATCCCCTCCCACCCAAGTATGTGACTATGGTTGACCTCAAAGTTAAAATATTTTAGGGGAAAAGCAAATACCAAATGTGTATTTACAGTTATGATTAGAATTGTAGTCAAATGTGCATATCAAAAATATTTATTTATTAAAAATTTAATAATTTTATGGGGAAAATTCAGGTTAAGCTTAGAGAATGTTATTTTAATGGCAGATGAGATGTGATCATGTGATCTTTTTAAAATAAATAACACTTAATGTCTTAATGTGTTTTTTATTATTTGCTTAGGCTAAGACTTATTAAATAAAATTGTGACAGAAGCATCTCACATTCTGCTACTTTAGAAAGCCACAATAAACTATTTTGATTTGAAGTGTGCATTCAGAATTGAAACTATTCTTTTTTCCACAACATGAATTCAAATTTCACAAATTCTTCTGCCTTTTGATCACCAATAATAGAAGACTGCTAGAAATAATAACAGAACATGAACTCAATAAGATGGCGGATGCTATGCTTGTAGATTTAGGCCTATTTGACAAAACCTGCATTCAATTAGTGCTGACTTCTAGGAATTGTATTTTGTATGGCTATTGAACACAGAGTCACAATCATACATACACACATAAATCATTAAATGCTTAGAGAATTATTAATTACTTGTTATACATGATGAAATGAGCGTTAGTAATATCTTTATGTTAACCTTTTGATGTAATGGATTTTTCCGTTATTCGTACTCTCTCCTCCTCTTCCCCCCCCTCCCCCCCCCCCAAATGCCTTAAAGGTACTGCACATTTTAAAGAACAAGCCAATTTTTGTTTAGAGAATTATTAATTACTTGTTATACATGATGAAATGAGCGTTAGTAATATTTTTATGTTAACCTTTTGATGTAATGGATTTTTCCGTTATTCGTCCTCTCTCCCCCTCTTCCCCCCCCCCCCCCCCCCCCAAATGCCTTAAAGGTACTGCACATTTTAAAGAACAAGCCAATTTTATTATTTACCTTTTATTTTTCAAAATTACGACTTTAATATTGTGTTTGTCTGAACAAGAAAATACATTATGTTAATGCACATTTTCTACTTACACAGGGATATGGTTTACATACACTCTGGCATGTGGAGGTGGGGGAGAGACAGTGGCTTGTGGAGCCAATAGCAATGATTGCAAGAGTGTTTGTCATGATTTTTAGAGTGTTAAGGCCAATGGTCATGATTGTTGGGGTGTTAGGGCCAATGGACATGATTGCTGGAGTGTTAGGGCCAATGGACATGATTTCTGGAGTGTTAGGGCCAATGGACATGATTGCTGGAGTGTTAGGACCAATGGACATGATTGCTGGAGTGTAAATGCCCATGGCCATGATTGCTGGAGTGTTAGGGCCAATGGACATGATTGTTGGGTTGTTAGGGCCAATGGACATGATTGCTGGAGTGTTAGAGCCAATGGCCATGATTACAGCAGCTGCCGCTAAGGGATCGTAGAATGGGGGACAAAAAGGTGCCACCAATGGCGAGAAGCTAAATCGCCGTCCGGCGAGCGTCTATGAGGCCAGTGTCTCGCCCCCCCCCCCCCAACTGGCCATGATTACAGCAGCTGCCGCTAAGGGATCGTAGAATGGGGGACAAAAAGGTGCCACCAATGGCGAGAAGCTAAATCGCCGTCCGGCGAGCGTCTATGAGGCCAGTGACTCGCCCCCCCCCCAACCGGCATAGCAGTATGTGCAATACTTCTTTCAGGAACCAGGGTTGTATATCCATTTAGCTAAGACCATAAGGATCAATGTGGTCGACTGTGCCGAGGAAACCTTCGCAAGATCATGTCAATGGACATAACAATCGCGAGGGCCTTGCAATCCCCCACGGCCTCAGGGGGAGGGGGGGCCTCGGATATTTAAGGAGACAAAAGTTGCGATGTGGATACATTTTAAACTTTCACCTTTGAATACAGGGAGCGCAAAACAGAAAATCTGCAGGGGGCCACTAATTCACACTGTCGTCCACCTCTTTATGAGGTGTCCCAGGTGTCTGCCAGTAATGGATGTCATTCCTTGAGTGCCGCTTTGCGATTTTCGGTGGATCCATTAAGAGAACTGAGACTCGGGCCGCCGATTTGATCCTTTTGATTTCTTTTGTAAATGTAGATCAAATAAGCGTGAATCGTGAACTAAATTGAGTCCAACCTTATAAGCTCACCTAACTCCCCTCTAACATACAAAAACATAGTCATTATAATTATGTTCATGAATCGTATTTTTTTTAAAATGTAGGCTCACATAAATAATATACAGTATACCGCAGGGGTCTTAAACTCTCGTCCCGCGGGCCATTTGCGGCCCGCAAGACGATATTTTGCGGCCAGCTTCATGACAGCAAAGTTTAGTGATAATGCGGCCCACGCATTTTCCCCATTCTGATATCAATAATGTGACCATCCGTGACGGTTTCAGTCGAATTTCAACGACTAGTCTTATTCTGATTTTCATTATATTTGTATAGATTTGGGTGTTAATTATAATGGTGAAACCGTTTTAAAATCGGATTAAAAGTTTTTATTTTATATCATTTTATGAGACAAACATGACCAAAGTGCGGTTATGAGAAAAGTTCAAAAAGTCTGTTACTAGGTAATGCACAACCATAATTGTGTAAATTTTAGCAATTTATCTGACACGGTAATCAAAGAATCCCTATTAAAATTGCCCCTAGTGTTTACGATTGAAGGAATTCCGAGCCTGTCAGTCAGGTCACTTTCAAAATAGGGCTAGTCAAAAAGACATTTTCTACCATAAAAAATCAAACTTCATTCTCCCTACCATAGCATCGTCGTCCTTCGCATCAATAATTCATAAATATTGCATGCGCCTGTTTACTGGAAGATGCCCCCCCCCCACCCATTTTTTTTTTCGCTTTAAATGGAGTTGATTGATCTTCAGTGCAATTCTAAGTTCAGGGAGGTGAATGGAAAAAGAAACGCATGGACATTTTATGAGAACATTGCCCTCCACCTTCCCTGAGATTTCCAGGTTGTTCAAGCGGATCACGTGACTTTTTGGGAGTGAAATCTGTGTAAAAAGTCCTTTTCCACTATGATCTTTAACAAGTCGAAATTCAGGGCCAAACTTACTGATGAGCATCTTCAAGCTTTACTAGGGTCTCAGTTGCTTTCTCACTCAAGCCAAATGTTTCTCAGCTGTGTAAGAAGAAGCACTGCCAAGTCTCTGGCAACAAGGAGTAGGAGGAATAAAGCGAAGCCTAGTTCTTCAGAACCTTTAATGTTTTTATTTGTTATTAATGAAGGTTTAGCAGATTGTAACAGTTGTACTTTATTCAATTTGTTATAGCTTTTTGTGGACTACTTAATGCGGCCCAGTCTCACTCAAACTCTACCTCCTGTGGCCCCCGGATGATTTGAGTTTGTGACCCCTGGTATACAGGGACGTAATTTAGGTAGGGCAGGGGTGGGCATTCCCCCCCCCCCCCCCCCCCCCCNTAATTTGCAGGTTTTTTAAATTGCTATATACTGTGGCATCTCCAATAAAAAACAACTTAACAAGCCGACCAAATTTTTGTTTTTGCCCCCCCCCCCCGAAAAAAAGTAAAATGACGCCCCTGACCATAGTCTATATAACTTTTATTTTATATAAAAACTAAAAAACGGTCAGCGTTTAAAATTCATTTTACTAATTATTATTAGACAAGATCTTAACGCTGATTCACTTCCGTTCTAAAGGGAAATAACTGTTACGTTTATTATGAAAAAAATGGCTGCCAAGAATTCAGACATTCTAACTATTACTTAAGTATTTTTATTTCCGAAAACGATACTTATATAAAAAAAACAACAACCCCATTTAAAAAACAATGTGCATTATGTTTTAGCGCATAATATGTAAATATGGTACGCATTAGCAAAATATTTTCTTGGTCATTTAAATTCTAGAGGCTTCTCGTTTATTCAGAATCAGATTCAGTTAAAAGTTAATTAATTATCTTGACTTTTCGAATTCTTGATTTGTCACTTGTCTCAACTGCCTTGCGTATTTCAGCAGGCTCTCACTCGACTTTCGAGACAGTATGAACGTAAATGAACCCGATTTTCGAAATATAAGTGGATACAAATTGCATAATATCAGTATCTATATGTGACTATTATTATATTATAATAAACTATTGACAGTGACAGTGTGACTGAAGTATAGGCATAGGCCTGCTATATATATATAATATATATATGCTAGTTATATTATGAGTTATAGATAGTCAAATCCACTTAGTACAACTTTAGGTGTTCCTGAACTATCACTTAAATAACTAGTAAGTTAAGAGATAGGCAGATAGGGGCGTTGACAACTTGGTCGGAATACGTTTTAAGGAAATGATTTTATTGGGCATGGCCGGGAAACTTTCAAAACAACACAACTGAAGTCTTCAGTAGTCTTGGGCAAGTACTAGTAGTCTAATACAGGGTTTGGCAAACCTTTTCTGACAAAGCCTGGCAACAATATCTTCTTCTTCTGCTATATATTAAGTGCCCACGATCAATTCATTCTGGCTCCTATGCATGTACAGGATGGGATTTGCAGTGTTTCTGTGTCTGGTGTTGACAAGAATATTTCACTGGTTGCAAGGGCTACAAATGTTGTTGCCTCAACTGTTCCTTTTGGAAGCTTGTTCCAGTCCCTGATAGTCTTTGGCAGGAATGAGTAGTTCTCTACTGGCTTCTTGCTGGTATGAGCCGGAACTGCCTGTCATGGCCTCGTCGCTGTCTATGGGGGAGAGGGACAAGTTTCTGTTTAATACTGGAGCAGTGGACCAGCCCGTTATTTATCTTGTACATCATGTTTTTAAAAATTGTAAAGCGCTTAAAGCTTTAAGGTAAGCGCTATATTAAAATGCCTAAATAAATAAATAAATAAAATATTCGTCATCGTTCCTCCAATGGTGACCAGCCCAGTGTTTCCAGCATGCTGCCAACACTAGTGTATTCCTGTAGCCATTCAGGACAAAGCGTGCTGCCCGTCGCTGGACCGCCTCCAACCTGTTGATGCTCTTTTGGGTAAATGGTTCCCAGACTCAAGATGCATAATATAAAAGTGGCCTTACAAAGGCTTTATAGGTTCTTTCTTTCACACTGGAGTTGCAGATCTTTAGATTATGCCTTAAGAGCATTGTTAACATGCTCGTCCCAGCGGACTTCTCTTTGAATGGTAACACCCAGGTACCTTATGGAAGAAATTGGCTTAAGTATATGGCCATGCAGTTCATAATGGTGATGTAGAGCAGGGCAACTTCTAGAGACTAACAGTATGAGGCACTTTGTAGGATGAAATTCCACATTCCAGCTCATCTCCCACTCAGCTAACCGATTGAGATCCTGTTGTAGCTGGTCCTGGTCAGATCTGTTGGCCATCGTCCTATACACCACCATGTCATCTGCATACAGTCACTATCATCAAAATTGTTTACAAGTGCTCATTATCAAGCTGCTCTGTAGTTATATATTACGTCTTTAATTTTTCAAATGTCTTGTAACAAAGTAGGTAGTGCCAAGAATGAAATTAATTTATAAGCAAAATCAGTTAAATGAAAAAATTGAGCACCTTAGAGCCACTACTTTGTATCTGTCTCTCAACATATATTTGGATTGCAGATCGATCACCTCTATTTGATGTTCAGCTGGCAAATCATCAACACAATGAAACATAATGATTATTTTATTCACTGACTTCGAGATCTGTAAAACTGTCCTGAAACTGCTGTCTGAAGTCAGAATGCAATCCTTGCACACACTTGCATGGGAATGGGCCTGTTTGTTTCTTGTGCAAATTTTTCACAGCATGGGAATTGAGTGAAGCAAGCCCTTATCAACCCTTTTAGATTGGCTTAAACTTCTAATTCCACATGTTTTTCAAATTTAGTTGGATGAAAACTCCATATTATGCATACTAACTTATGCAAATTTTCTATTTGAGAATTACAAGAAGAGGCCAAATATTTTTTATTTTATTGGGTGGATATTGGCATAAGTGTTTTCACAAAGATGTTGATTAATGTTACTGTTGAATTTGTAAATAAAAAAAAGTATAATCAATTTTAGTTAATAAGCACCAGGCAGGCAGGATAAACTGAACCCGTGGACCATAGTTTGCCAACCCCTGGTCTAAGGCATAGATAACTATTATATTGATTCCCACTAGTAAATAGTTACAATTTTATTATTAGATTTTGAACAGGGCAAAATAACACCACTCTCAACATTTTTGGCAAAACACACTTTTAGTGGTGTTTTTGTGATAAGTGGTTGACCACTATGTATGTAGCATGGATTAGCAAGAATAAAAACTGAGCAATTTAATTTAAAATATATATTATTGTGTTTTTAATTTTGCCACCACTTCATTAAAATTTAGGCTAAATAATTGTAGATTATTTGAAATTTAAAGTTTCACAGTAATATCATTCTCCGCAGACTTTGACTCGTGTGCACTATAACTCAGTGAATTAATATTGATACAATAGGAGATATCAACAAAACTCTTAATTTGTTAAATTTAAAGGTTATATCAACATTATGTATTGTAGATTGTCATTAGTCATTAATTTTATCAATGAATCCATATTGAATCTTAAAGCCAGTATTGTTGTTTATTGAAGGATAATTGTGGTAAAAGTTATAAATGACAGGCAGGCAAGAATAAGTCTTACTTTGTGTATTGAATGTTTTAGAAAGTGACGATTTTCATATTTGGATTATTTATAGACAAAACTTAAAGTAGGCCTAAGGTAAGTTTGTAAAAAAATTTTCTCTTATAAAAATATCAAAATTAAAAAGTTATATTATTATGAAGTCAATAATTCAAATTTTTATGAATGATTTATGTATTTTTAAATGCATGCAATGAAGAGAGTAACATGTTATCTAATTTGTATTAATATCATCATCTACATTCCATTTTGATATTTCTATATTTTCCAATGGGGATAAAGTTACGTTAAAATAAGATCATCAGCCTCAACCTAATGATAAAATAAAAAATAACTCAGATAAAAAGATTACTCAGATAAAGAGATAACTGTTAAAATGTTTAACATCACAAAAATTCCAAGTAGGGACTGTGGGAAACCTTGTTCGTTCTCCATAAAGTCATTTTAGACAAATCTTATGAAAAGCCAAAAGTGTCCTGTTTCAAGTTCTCATCTCCTCTCTTGTAAATAGTTTAAAATCCTGGCTACACATGAAATTAACATTAAATTACTGTACCAAAAGTAAGTTTCTATTCTGTCACCAGAATCACACATTTTCTTTGCTGGGGTCGGAGTCAGATATTTGAGTCAAACAATAAACATTTTAAGTCTGAATCGTAAGTCTGAAATTAAAGAGAAAACTCAGCTGCAATCAGGCTTTTTAATTACCACATTTTTTATTGCTCTATTTAAAGTGTCATGGGACTGAAAGTAGAAATCTGAAAATGAATTATCTACACAGTTTTAAAAATAAAACTTAATAATTTATATCATAGCAAAATAGTTAAAATAACCACTAAACATCAGTTCTCATCATTTACATAAATTTGTTACCTACTGAGGACATGAGCATCTTAATCCTTGCAATCTCTCTCGCTATCATTTCCCCCCCCCTCCGAGTGCTAATAAAAAACAATTTTAAACTAGCCAGATTTAACCTGTGGAATTGTATTACCATTTGTCTGCATATTCTGTAAATTTGGTTTGATTTCCCTTAATGCTGTTATTGTTTTAAGGTGGAAAATTTAAGTAATGGTGGGCTAAGTATCATCTTATTAAGATTACCTTATGTCCCAGTTTGACCAGCATTGTCCTGGTGTAGCAATGCTGTCCTGGTGTCTCTGTTGGTTTGATATTCTGTTTCAGAATCAATCACAATATTTTAAATCAAAATTAATTTTTCTTGTCTATATTAGATAGTCTTTTACCCATTGTTAATATGAAAACTTGGTTGGTATCAAATTCAATATTTAATCTAACTAAGGGGCCGTCCATAAAGTACGTCACGCTATTTTTTATTATTTTTAACCCCCCCCCCCTCCGGGCACAAACTGCTCCAAAACCCCGACACACACCCCCCCCCCCCCCCCTAAAGTACGTCACACTTTCGGACCAATTAAAAAAAAATTAACACATAATTAAAATTTAATTTAAAACACACTTCACTATTACACCGTATTAAAATTTCTACTTAAAAGAACTGTCACATTATTAAAATTAATTTAATAGTAGAATAGTTACTAGCACTCCTAGCGAGAGGAATTGTGAAGCACACATTCAGGAGATACGCATTCCATGCTATTTTGACATAAAACTAATTCAAATGTTTCACAAAAATTTTTAAAAATAATTTTAAAACCAATAAAATCCAACAAAAAAAAAAAAAAAAAAATGTGTGACGTCACACATGGCCTGACCCCCCTCCCCCCGTCACAAACTGTCACACTTTCTTAAACCCCTCCCCCCCCTCTGGAGCATGACGTACTTTATGGACGGCCCCTAATCCAAAGTTTTATATATAAAAATTGCCTAGTTCTAAATCTAAGCTTGTTTTATGCAACATTAGTTTGTTTATGAATAATCCTACATGTACATTTGAAGTCTATTTTGAAATAAGAGAAGGTAGAATTAATATTATAGATTTTACAGTCAGTAATATTTCCACTGATATAATAAATTCCCTATTTAAAAAGGATTTTGGACAAAAGGAACAAAGACATTTCTTAGAAAGTAGAATTAAGTGAGAAATATGAAAGTATGAATATTCCTTCTCTCCCCAAATACTCAACATACACAATGTGGCTTTTTAGACTTTGCATGAAACCTTAAGTAAATGCTGTATGGGGTGAACTCCCGAAATCGTGCCTCCTACTCACACCCATTATTTAATGTTTGAATAATCATAAACAATAGTGCTGTCCATATGGCAGTGGCACCGTCACCCCCATACAAACTTTACTAGTAAAATTTACTCTCATAGGTCCTAGTTTTAACCTTAAAAATATTGGTAAACCTAATCTTTTGCAGCATTTTTAAAAAATGAACTCACTCCATAATTACATTTGTAGAAACTGAATGAAACAAAACACCACAAAATATCTAGATTCATGTTATATCCCCACACTGAACCAGTTTTTTGCTCAGTTTATTTGCCACCATCTGTTAATTTTTGGTTTTTGTTTTAAAGGAAAATGTGAGAATACCAGGAAATGTGAAGCCTGAGCCATCATTGAGGATGTCTCCAGACAAGAATCTGATGCAAACAGACAATCCTTTTACACCACAATATGCACTTTCACTGCTACCAGAACATAGGCAACCCATGCAGATCCCAAGCAATTCTGTACCCCCAGGGGAAAATTCTAATGGTGACCAATCATCTGATAAAAATACTGGCCTCTCCACTGATGATCCAATAGACAGCGAAAGTGTCAAAGGAATATTTGGTTGGGAAACTGTTGATGATACCAGTATTCCTTACATTTTAAGGAAGACAAAAAAATTTGTCTCTGTGCGCATTGTGGAGCGCAAGTTACTAAGCAAATACCCCAATACTTTTCCAGATGAACTGGGTAAGAAAGACCCGCTTGTTAGTTATTTCATCACAGATGCTGAGGCCAAGTTGTTAAATGAGATCAACACTGCTCATTGTGATTATGAGTATGGGCACAACCCATTTACAACAAAGGACCTAATTGTTGATTTGGAAGAATTCGAAGAGTTCTTTAAAATTGTCAAGAAAACATTCCCAGCTGATGTATTAGCAAAAATAGGTGGGGAGCTAACCCCACCAGCCATGACTCCTCCAGTCAAACCAGAATTGTCCAATTCCTGTGGATGGATGCAGATAAATAATACAGTCTCACCATACATATTACGACAAGAAGGTGGCAAGCAAGTGAAGCTAGTGCCACTTTCAGTGATTGTTTATGCTGCTGGGTTATTAACCAATTCTAGTGTTGATGGCTTACTACCCACACCACAAGAATGTGCTTTGTTAAATGAGGCATGCAAGGCAGCAGGCTTTGATTTCAATTTTGGCAAGAACACCCGTCTCATATCCATAAATGAAGTAATTCATAGGTGTCAAGTTCAGCTGTTTGAACTGCCATTCAAAAATCCTCTTCAGCATGCTCGATACCTAGATCCAAGAACTGGACAACCATCTTCTAACCCATTGGTGTCATCACAACCTGTTGTTACAACATCATCTGTAAGTCAGCATTCATCAGCACGAGCTTTGCCGACTCACCATACTAATATGGAATTTATCCCTGGCTCTCATCCTGAAATGAATCCGTTTTTTTCTATTTTCCAACGTCCAGGTTTTCCTCCATCAACTATGACCATGAATAATGCTCTACAAAATTATAACCCAGCTATGCTTCGTCCACCATTTGGAATGGGTATTGATCCTTCAAGACTACCCTCTCAGCGATCTCATATGATGTCGGACAAGAACATCGACAACAGTTCATCAATGGCACAGTCCATGCCGGGTTCACCGTGGCCTATTATGACAAGAGCTCCACCTCCAGCGCACACAAACAATTTATCAAACACTTTACTGAGATCAAAAACTCCACCAATATCACAGGAACCTCCAATATCATCAGCTTATCAGCAGCTTTCCAGTCTTCCTTCAAATCATTTACAACACTCTAAGTATTCTCCATCCATGCCAGACCTTAACCATCCTATCTACAGAGTTTCTCCCTCTATGTCACAGAGACCTCCTAGTACCCAAATCTTGCAGAAGGATAGCCCAAGTCACATGGTGAGATACCCACCTCCTATCACGGGTTTGCCTCCTTCACCCTCTCAGTATTCAGCCCCACCATTTTCATTTGGAGTAAACCAGTTTGACAGTTCATTATTTGCTAGAACCGATATTCACGAGATGAGACATGCCAGAGACACTGTAGGCTCTAACCAGCCTACGTCTAGGAGGCGGAGCAGTGAATCCCCACAAAATGCAGGGCCACACTTAACCAACATCGTTCATCAAATTACTAATGCTGCAAGGCAAAGTGCTGATCAGACCTTACACTTAATGTCAACATCACCAGGATCTTATGCTAGCAATAACAACCACCAAAAGGCTGATTTGTCACAGATGATCTCTGCCTGTCTAGTGAATGGCAAAAGCATATCATGCCTTAATGTCAAGTCTGCACATCGCACTGGGAGTTACTGTTTGGTTGAGGCAGTTTCAAAGCTTTACTTCCCTACTGTCCCTCTTGCTGAGTTTGTCAAAGTTCTTCAGTATGTTCTGAAGGTGAATCTCTATGAATGCACAGCAGAGGAGGAAGCTGCCTTTGTCCATTATTACAATCTTCCAGTTTCTAAACTAAAATGCAACAAAATTATTAAAGTTGATGATCTGGAAAACTACTTTCCTCAGCTGAATTATATGTTCTCAAAATGCCAACCAGACAAGGGTCATTTGTCTGCAAAGCCCACTACTCATTCTGCACAGAAAAGACATTCTACCTCACCCCTTTCACTCCACGCCCACAAAAGAAGCACAACTTCACCTTTAGTGGGTCCACCTGTCAACCTCATTTCACCTAAGCAGGAAAATAGCAGTTCAAATTATGGGAGTCAGTCTGTATCATCATCAAATGGAGGTAATTTAACTAGGTGCTAAGCATAAATCACAACTACTGTTATAGATTTAACATTGGCCAGTTAAATATTTTTTAGATATTTCATCTGCCTGCAAATTGTGTGCTTGTTATCCAATGCGTGGAAAGCTCAAAATAAAATGAACATGGCCAAGAACTTAACAAAATTGCTTCCTTTGTTGAAACTATTATAATGGGCGTAACCTAACACACACACTAAAAAAAGGATAGGATAGATTGTATGCAGGTTTTTTTTGTTTTTGTGTGTGTGGTGTTTTGGGGGTGGGGGGGGGGTTGGGCTCATGCAAAGAAACTAGCATGGGTCTTATTCTTCTAGCATTGATGCATTATCATACATGATTGAAACTATTATAATGGGCGTAACCTAACACACACACTAAAAAAAGGATAGGATAGATTGTATGCAGGTTTTTTTTGTTTTTGTGTGTGTGGTGTTTTGGGGGTGGGGGGGGGGGTTGGGCTCATGCAAAGAAACTAGCATGGGTCTTATTCTTCTAGCATTGATGCATTATCATACATGATAAGGAAAGACCTAGTTTTAGATTTGTCTCTCCTTCTCATCTCTCATCTATTCTTCTTAGGAAGTGAAAGACGAGCTGATACTTCCAGTTTTTAAAAAAAGTAGATTGGCAGTACTTATGCAAGGTTATACTATTGTTAGTATTGTAGTAAATTAAGTATGTTATTTTAAATTAAAAAGAACTTTTTACTTTGTTGGTTAAATTAAATTTATACTCAAAGAAAAATATTGATGAAATGCAACAGAGAAACTATTACAAATATTAAGGGGATTAAAATAATTGGATAGTAATTAAATTTAGTTTTAGTGCAACTATGAAAAAATGTTTTTATTAATTTATTATGTGAAAACAGAAATATAATCCTACAGCAAATTTATATATCTATTACTACACTTTTTCTTTTTTTTCAGGTGGCACATCCAGAAATGGTGCTAATGAAGCTCCTGTTATTGTCATTGATGATTAATAAATCATCACAATTTAATTGGAAGAACTCCTCCTTTGAAAGGACAAGTTTCAAAACAAGATATTCTGTTCACACTTTTCCTTGATCATATTATTGTTACAAAATTGCATACTTTAGTTTGTTCACATAAACAAAAGCCTCTGAAATAATATATGTTCTTTAAAAAAAAAATCTAATTATTACATTTAGTTCTGATTTTGATAAAATACATAAAGAAGTGGTATTCATTTTAAAAAAAAACTGAAAAATCTGCATTCATCTTTAAATTTGAGTCATTCATAAATTACTCTTAGTTACTTTTTACTATTGTTGATGAAACTTAGCAGTCCAAGTAAGATTGAAGACTAAAAAGAAGGGAAATTAACATTACTGGTACAATTATGTTTTATATTCAATATGAAATGCATATCATTTTTAGGTACACTTTGTTATTTTCTTGTTCAAAATTACTTATGTAAATAGCTCTCATGACTATTTTGAAAAATAAATCCTTATTTCATTAATATTTATGTATAATTATAATAAATGACTATTCTAGGGCACTACCAGCTAATTCTTTGTCATATGTATGTAAAAAGAAAGTTAATAATATTTTCTTCTTTGAAATGAAACTGAGTTTTGCATGGGTATCCACAAATTTGTTTAGTTGGGGGAAAAGTGGGAAGTTTACATCTATGATCAGTTACAGAAAAGTGTAATGTATGTATAATAAATAAGTGTAAATAAGACATTAAGTTTAAATCTCCCTCTCTTTCAAAATCTAAATAAATACGTTGTTACCTGTGTTACAGGCAACAGAGTTTTGAAAAAAAAGTTAACTTTTTAGAAATGTTATGATATTGTAATTATCTTGTAATCTGTTATATTATTAATCAGTTTTAACATGTTTTAAACTTTTTGTTCCAAAGCTCATTACTTTATTGACACCTTTTAAAAACAATATTTCATTGAAATTTTGCTGCTATAAAAATAATGTACATGAGTTATTTCTTATGTAAATAGTCTTGAGTTTTATAAGTGCTAACACCATCTGGCAGATGGATAAATTTTTAATACAATGGTAAAACATAGTTAATTGAAATGTTATGGTACATATTGTCTGTTTGATTTTTAAGTATGAATTAGTTATCAAAATATTTAATGGTTGTGGTTTTTCTAAATACATGTCTTCATTTAGATTTCAAGAACCCGAAATGTTTAACTCTCTCAGGATTAAGGAATGCCCAAAGTATTTAAACTTGTAGCATGTATAAAGTAACTTAGGAAATTTAAAAATCATATATTCCCAAAGTGAAGTTGACACCAATCACAAGCTTGGATACAACTTTTGTTAGTTTTGTATATCAAATCATCTTGTATCAGAAATCAATTAATGCCATAGGATAGTAAATTATCCTTAATATAACATTTTTAGATCAAAGGAATAATTAGTAAGTTCAGTTTGAATTTCTGCTTTTCCATCAAATTGTAAAACTCACAATGTATAATTTACTATAATATATCACATAATGTGAAAGTTGTGTTAAACAAACTGGTATATATATTGTACTCAAACATCCAGTTGTGTATTTATTTTTATGTACAGTTTTTGTCCCTCCCATGCTGTAGTAAGAAAATGGCAAAGATTTAAGTCATCTCATTTTAATGTTGAATTCTTTCACTTACTCTTCCCAAACAGTTTCTTCCTAAAATTACATGAAGGACAAAGCAGAAGCATAGATGTGCATGCTTTTTAAAAAAATTGCTGACGGACTGTTTTATTGGACATTATCATTGTTAAAACTTTATTTCTTGTTACTGATTTAATATTGTTTTGTTTATTTAAAGATAATTTAAAAGATGCATGAACGATAAATTAATTAATGTATAATCAAAGTAAATTCTAATTTTCTTTCAGTTTGAAGTACACTAGTTTTATAAAACTAAATGTAGCAATTGTCTTTAAAGTTTTGAAAACAAATATCTTAAAACTGGTTAAATTTTTAGTTTGATTTTATTAAAAGTTTCAAAACACTGAAAGATAACTGTTGATGAAACCCAATTAAAGTTGTATTCATATCTAATTTTTTTTTTCTAAAGAAATGTGACACATTAATTTACAGATTGTGTAAAGAGGAACTTATGTTTTGAAAATATTTGTTGAATTTAACAATCCAAATGCCTGTAAAACTTTTTCTTCAAGCAGATAACTGAGTTTTGAAACATATCCCTTTTTTCCCAGTCATTAATCTTAGGAGCTTATGAAAGATTATCTATACATCACATGAGTACACCTTGGATTTTTTAAAATGATGTAATTTATTTATCCTGATATGTATACGGAATGAAAATATATACTTCAACTGATTACTAGTTCTACTAAATAAAGTACTGGAATACCTCAAACATTCACGAGGTTAGGTTACAGAAACCGAGGTGAGGTTCCAGAACCTGTCACTAAAATGCTAATAAATGCTTATTTCTAGAGTTTAACCCCAAATCATGCTCCAAAGGCACTTTTAAAAGTTTGCTCAATACATTACCCTTAGAAAATAAATAACGGTTGATGTAAAGCAAAACAAAAATAAATGGTGGCAGTAAAAACAGAGTTAAAAAATCACGAATGCAAATTAGTTAGGTTCAAATCAAAATTTCATGAACCCTTGAATGCCAAAACGCAAATGCATGAGGTATTTCAGTATTAACTCAAATTTCCTTTCAAATATTTCCCATAAGCAATGCGTTTCTTAAATTTAATCATTATTAGAACATAATTTTAAGGAATAAAATTTTAAGATAAAAAAGATCTTAAATATTCTTTATAATTGAGTGACTTTTTGATAGAAAATAGTAAAAAAGCATAAAGGCGCATTGAACACAGCCATTAAGCTTATAGCATGTGTTGGATTAAGTTTTTAAACTATTGTTGCCGTAAATATGTAATGTCCAAACTGATACATTTGTAAAATACTTATAATTAAGGTACCGGTAGTAATATTCATCATTACCATCAAATGAAAGACGAACTATGCTGCCCATCCTGTTTTTTTAAAAACATTTGTATAATAAAATAAAATGATCAACTTATAATTGTGCTCTGCTTTTTCTTATCAGAAGGTTAGCATCCATGACAATTGGAAATCAACTAACTTCATAATGAAGTTAATGAGATAATACATTTTGTTTGACAGACTGTTGGACCAGGAAAAACCAATTTGAATTTTTTGCACATTTTTGATGATACAAAGGAAAGCAAAATTGGTTAGAATAATAAAACTTATAAAATGTTGTTTATTTAAGAAAATCATTTTTATTTAAGACATTTTAGAAAGGTCATCAGCTTTAGCTTGTCTAGAACATATTCATTATTGTAAAATTTAATAGTGCTTTTCACATATTAAAAAAAACCCAAAAAACTTGATATGTATGTTATCCACTTTTCAAAATTTAATGTGGTACTATAGGCAGCATATATTTAATCTGTTGGGTTTGTCTAACAGAGACAAAAATGCTTCATAAAAATTATTTCTTTTTATTTAAAGCAATCTCTCCCCCAACTTTGAATATCTATATAATATGAATAAAATATTGGATGAATAATAGCAGATTAATTTATGTCTATTAGGATATTAGGAAGCAAAGTATCTCAAAGAAGTTGCTGCCTTACAATGCAATATCATGCATTTCACTTAATAGATATTCCTTTTTGAGAAGAAAAAAAATGTATTAAAGCATGAAAGGTTCAACCTTAACTACTAGTTCTTTGATGTTAGGCGCTCTGGCTTAAATTCATTTTAAAAAAATAATAAAGAAAAGTATTGCAGTGGTGAAAAAATCCACCTTTTGATGATGGGCTTAAAGAAATAGGAGATCTTAAACAGATGCAATCAATTTAAATGTGTGGCTTTTTGTCACTCCAGTGCTTTTGTTATCAAGCTTTATGTAAAGATCAGTGTTTACAGATACTTCCTGCTTGTGTGTAGCAAAAAGTAAAGTGAAAAGATTTACTTTCTATTTGTGAAGTGTATTTTTGTGTCACCCTCTGAAACACTGCAGAATTCTGTATTTTTTTTAACCATTTAAAAATATTACTATTCTTGGTTTGTTAAATAAAACAATTTCTTCAGATCCCAAAAAATGAATTTTGCAAACCCTTACAAGGTAAAGGGAATTTTTTTAGTAGCATTTATAAAGCTAGAACAAAAAATAATTTTTAAAGTTCAACTTTTTTATTTTATTAGAGTATCATTTTTATAGATGCAATTATAACCAAATAAAATAATATGGTCTATTTTGTGTGCGTCATTCAAAAAGTTGACATCACATGCTTTTAAGATGTTGATCTTATGAAATCATATTTAATCAATCATTTAAATGGGCATTAATATGATTCACTTACGGCATGTATTGAGTAACCATTGCAGTTTTAATGCACATCACAGTTTAAAAAAATAAAAATAATGTTTATTTTATTTAAATAAATAATTGTAATGTTTATTTTATTTAAATAAATAATTTCTAAACATTGTGTAAATAAAATCCTAGACCAGGCCTTTGCAAACTCTAAAAGGTAAGATCTGTAATTGGCCTTTGATTTTTTTTTTAAGGTAATAAAAAAAATACAATCATGCCTTTATAGCACAATCTTCAGCTTTTAATAAATGTAAGTTAGCACAGTCATTATGATACAGTGTGAATAAACTGTTAAAAATACACTCAGCTGCTGCATGAGCTGAGGTGAATGGAAATATTTCTTTGAAAACAGGCTTTTGATATCGATTCCCCGCCAAGGCCAGTGAGCAATGTAAATGTCTGTGGCCAGTCTGAATTAAAATGATCTAATTTTGTGAATTCATTTTGAGGTTTTAGGATGGTTGAAATCAATAGAAGGATAGACAAAAACTTTGAACTCATAATTCTTTTTCATTTTCAGTGAAAATTGCTTTGGAAATTTTGTATTAACAATACATTGAAACTATGTATTTATGCATCAATGTAAGGAAGGTCTTTGCCATGAAACAACATACTATGTTGTGTTGCTATTATCATGTGTTAAAAATTAACTTTTTCAGACTTAAACATATATTATATGCATGAATTGACACACTGCCCTTGAAAAAGTTTGTGCATGCCTTCATAAAATTATGTTTATTGGGCAATTTTTGTGTGCTCATTAACTAAATTTTGAATATTATCTTGATAAATTTGTTTTTGAACAATTTAAAAAAACATTTTTTTCCCCTTTTATTGTGTTGAATTATTTATAAAAAAAATTAACAAATGCTACCATTTATTATTTCATTAATAGTTGTGAAACCTTAAATTAAGGACATAGAATACAAATAGAAAAGGTCTTTTTACACTACATAGCAATTTGTTTCTACAGAACGTGTACATAGTTATTAAAATTTGTTGAAGAACTGTTCATATACTATGTTTTGTAAAAATAATATGAGCAGGTCTTCATTCTTATGTTTTTAAAAAAAAAATCTTTAAGTCACTGGAGTTCTGTTGCTGGTTTACTTCATTTATTTTATAATGGTGAGCTTCTAAGTTAATATGTACAGTTGAAGTATTCCCAATTATTTTCATCAACTTGTTTTTAACATGTGCAGTGTTAGCACATTTTATAAGCTTGTAACTTTGTTATTGTGTAGTGTGAAATGGTATTAAGTGTTAGTATTGTTGTAATACCCTTTAGAATTAAACTTGATACAATGCTGAGGGTTTATTGTTGTTATTTCTTTTCCAATCATAAATTTTATGACTATCATTAGTAAGGTAGAGGAGGCACTAAGAAGATGCAGGTGCTGATTTAAATACATTTGTGATCTAATATGGAAATAGAAATTAATTTACTTATTTCTATAATGAATAGTTAAACATTATCAGATGAGTGAGACAATACTAGTCATTTACATGGTCAACCCGTATGAATGGACTGTCATACATTGAAGAAACAGACACTAATACTACGACCAACAAGGGTTGAAACTTTGACCCAAGTAAATCTGAACTTCAAACAGGACATCAGCTTTCCACAGCCTTCTTTTTATAGGCTTTTATATGAAAAACAAAACCATTGCTGTACTGTGGAAGATTCAACTCTCCAGATATAATGCGGAAAGGACTTCGGAAAGGATTGGTGACAGGTTTACTTAGAGAGCTCATTTTAGTTATTTTTAAAGTGTCCTTGGTGTGCGCAAAGCTGTAGAGGCAGTAATCTGTACAATAGAAGGGTATTGCTTGTTTCTGAAGAAAACATAAAATGTGTCATTAAAAAGTATAAATGTTTATAATATAATTTAATAAGTTAGTAACAGTAGATAATTTTTAATTGAGCCTTTTTTATGCATTTAGAAGTAAATCAGTTTTTATATATAAAAAAAAAAAAAACTTAAAAAATAATTACAACAGACTTGCTCCATTAGCTTTTTTTCTTCCCCCTAATTTCAATCCATTTTAAAAGAAATATACATAAAAGAAATATATGAGACAGCATTTGTGCCTTACTAATAATAAGTGAATGGTCTCCATAAATCCAGGATAAGCACTTAGACCAGCATTGAATCCTAAGAATTGAAAATAGGAAAAAAAATTAAATAATATATCAAATAATAACTATTTTCTTTAAATAATTTTAACTAATTACATTTTTTAGAATTTATTTAAAATATTTTAAATTTAAATAAATTAGGTCAAATTATGTTTTAAAATGAAATTGGATGTAATTTAATCTTACGTGAAATTAATCATGAACCTAAATTTTTGTTTCAAGCCTTACCGATGGCAAAATGAGGTTGTGGTAAATCATTCATGTTGTTCGTATGATAGAGACCAGAATGGACATGGAAAATGAGATTCTCCTGTTTATGGACATTATTGTGAACTTTTTCAGACAGCTCATCCCCAAAAAGGTGTATGTGCACTTTATATGGTTTCAAAAGTCTTGCCAATTCCTTGAACATATAGCAACAAAAAAATAGAAATGAACATTTCTGCTGGTTAAAAAAAAAATTAAATCACCATTTCTATGGTTTATACAAATTATAGAAGGGTACAATTATTTTCATTCACAATTCATTTACTTTTTTAAAACAAAAAATACTCAACCCTATAAATAAATGAAGTTACTTTACCTCTCATCTGTAACACTATTGTATTATTAGGAAAGAAGAAACACAAACATATAATGATCCTATTGTAAATACGGATAAAATTTTATGAATAAACTAGTAAACACTCACTAGGAATGGGTGGAACATTTCTGCTTCTTTTTCAGCCCCAATGAGATGTACATGGATACTTTGGGTTAATTTTATGTTCTCAAATGTGGAGGGATCTGTAGTACAAATTATAAGTTTGAAATCATACAACATATTTCTACAATTTTAATTACTCTTTTATGCAGCTAATTACTCTCTTAGTTACAGGGATTATGTATTATAGTTTAAAAAAAAAATAATTGTGACAGAAGCTAAGTATTACTTAAATTTAATACCAGGTATTCTTAACCTTAACTTGATTTAAAAAATACCCCCCACCCCCATATTTGAAAATAAATTTCTTGCACCCAGATGACCCGAAATGTTAATAAAAAAAACAACAAAACTGATTTTCTGGGGTACGGCCACCCCTGGTTAGGATCCCCTGATATAGACATACTAACGAAATAAAAAAGTTCAAAAGCTTATGGATTAATTTTCAACTGTTATATTCAGACCTACCAAATGTGATCCAATAATGGATAATATAGCTGCAATTTACAAAATAAATGAAAATTACTTTAAAAAAAAAAAAATGGTATTACAGTATTTTGGAAGGCTGTTGGTAATAATCCAGTAGAGGGTAAGTGGATAATGTAAAAGGCCACAGATTATGGAATCGAACCAAAATCCCCTGAAGTTGTAATAATCAGACCAATTAGTGAGTGGATTTTCCAAGGCTGGGGCTTCTGTGGGAGGATTTTCTAAAACTGCACCTTCAAGAGGAAGTGCATATGGCTTTTCATTACTGTCTAACTCTCCTAGAAAATAATAGAAATATATAAATTGGAGGAATGGTGAAATTTAGAAAAGATTTGTAATACCAAAAATTATAACTAAGAAGCCTTTATAAACCATTGATTTCTAAATTTCTGAAAGAAATCAAAAGCAAGAAAGACAACACAATGGACATTAAACTTTGTGAAAGGTTTATTTTTAAAACATTTGCTTTCGTTTCATTACCCTTAACAATTTTAAAGTATTTTTGAAAACATAAACATGTAAGCACCATTTTTTGAAACTTGTAAGAATCTTTCCTGATGTTATGTTGATTAAAAAAATATATTATTTTAAATCTTTACTTGATACTTGATCATTACACATAATATAAGACTTGTAATTAACACTTTCAACATGACATCAATGCAAAGTTACATGATTACCAAAAGGTAAACAAAATTTGCTGTCTGTTTTTTGACATTCTCTTCTCCATAAGCCCTTATCATAGACATCATTTTTCTCTAAGAGACTTCTCAACTTCTCTAAAGTAAAGTTTCTGTTTGTGGTATCTGAAAAGTAAACAAGCTTTATAGTTCCTTCAATGTACTTTTGTCAAAAAGAAAAAAACATAGTTGGAATCTTTATCAGTCAAGATAACTTGAAATTGATTAATCCCTTGGGTGCGGTACTTAAATATTAAAAGATATTTTTAAATCTCTAACTAGAAAACAAAATTGTCAAATGTACAATTTTATTGTAAAATACTTAAAAACTAAGATTAAAAAAATAATTGTGTTTTAGCTTTACTAACATTTTATGAACTCAAAAGGTAGGTTTGCCATTTGTGATTCCATCTGCATATATCGTTTCAATTTTGTACACCATATGTTGTGATCTTCCTTCCAAGATTTTAGTTGACATTCTTCATCACAATACATCACTGCATCACAGTTAACACTTGAAAAAATAATCAGAAAAACCGATTAATATAGATATTTAAATTTACATTTAATAATGAATGTCATAAAATGTATTTATTAAGTATCAAAATGCTCCTATTGGAAAAGGAGGGGTGTGTGGCAATCTTTTTGGTCATACTTTGGTACAAATCCAGGTAAATGTGTTATACCTGGTAGGAGGGATTGTGGCAGACTACTTATGATTTTTGGGTTAGTCTTATAAAACCACAATTGATCAAGCTTTAAATGTATTTGAGATGTTACTGAAAATTACTCTTTATAAATTACTAGAGTGTCACAAGAGCTAATGTAAAACACTTTAATACCACATGACTCAGCATAATTATGCCCCCCCACTCCCCCCACAATTCCAAACAAGTTCATAGATCCACAGTAGTAATCAGGGTAATTGTTGAGACAAATATATTTTTAAAACAGCTCTATATTTATTATCATGTAAGGATCATCGTGATTAGGTTAGTTATTCATTTGTATCACTCTGAGAGATATAAAATTTATCTGTAATTATTTTAAAAAGTTGATTATTATAACCACTATAGCAAAATCATACACAGAATAAAATAATAATCGCTATAGTAATTTAAAATTAATCTAGATTGAACTTATTAAAAGTCAGAGGAACAATACAATTTATTACCATGAATGAAACATATTTTCTGATCCCCTCAATCCACAGTAATAACACATGCGGAAGACAATACATTTTTGTATTTTTTCTAAAGGTATATGGTCTGTTTGGTTCTGGTTGTTGAGGAGGTTAACACCAAAATGGGCAACCTTAAAAACTGTTTCTCTGAAAGGCAAAAAAGTTTTTGAAAAGTATCATTTAAATAGAAGGTTAAAAAATATTAATAATTTATTAATTTAGATAAGATCAGGAAGTACCTTAGTAAATATTAAAATTTATTTTAAAAATTTAAATTCAATGCTGAGCTTTTCAAATACCGTAGTTAATTAAAAAAAAAAAATCTTTTAGTACCGGTAACATTAAATTAATTAAGATGACTTTTTATAAACTATTGCAATTTTCTAAAGAAAATTTCAATTCAACCATATTTATCTACTTTAAAAGTAATCTGATATACTATTTAATATTTAATAAATAACTTCATTGATAAATAACAAAAAGGCAACCTACTCTGTAATAAAAGACCTTCTTATCAAAAGACTATGTGGACGTCTTGGTTGTTTTTTCTTTGGGTGCAAACAGGCATGATAAAAAAGTCTCATAGCTTGGTTTTCAAAAGTCATTCTGTCTGTTAGAGCTATGCTTGAGTGCAAGGGTTCACTTGTAGCATTGGATGTAATAGGCATGACTCCCATCAATCGAATCTTATCAGAATCTGGTACTAAATTTTGTTAAGTAATTATAAGAAGGTTGAACTGGGGTAAAGCTTTTAAGCAGATTAATGAGACACAAATATTTGTGCAGATAAAACAATATACATTAAGAGTTAACTAATTAAGATTCCACAATATGCAGTTTCAAACATTTCAGCTAATGCCTTCATCAGTACAACACTACAAAATACATTAATATAATTATAATTATTCTATCATTTATATGGAAAACAAATTAATAAAAAGATTAGGTATGTTGACTCCAAGGAGTATAAACCAATTTCAAAATGTTACATGGCTGCAATGTACTTCTCCTGTTTGGTTTTTATATTGTACTTCCACTCACTTTCTTTCTGTTCTTCTCAGTGGCATAGCTAGGGGGTGCTGGGGGTGTGGGCCGCACCGGGTGACACCATCTCATGGGTGACACCACAGTAATTAATTGCATATTTACAGAGCACACACTGCTCAGTCTAACCAAATTTCATTTTCCACACATATTCAACCAATCCAAAAGATCACCGTGGATGCATTAGAAATGACGTGACCCTATAATTAGGTCAGAAAACTCAGTTTTGACCATGATTCAATGATAACTTTCGTAAGCTATATTATCTAGATTTTGATAAATAATGCAGGCTAAAGGCTTTATTCTTGAGAAAGTGGTGACCAACCTAGAAGCCATAAGATTGTTTCTACATGAGAAGCGTTATCACTTGGTGGAACATGCTATTGAAAAGACATTTTTAAAATCAGACCAATAAGGAATTTCATTATTTAAGAAGAAAATGGCAGGAGAACAATTGATAGATGCTGACTCTCTCTCTCTGAGAAGAAATTTGTTATGCACTTGCTTCTATTGGGAGAAATTAATCTCCTATTTTAATTTTATGGCTCGTTTAAACAGTGCCTAACAAAGGACGATACCATAGATAAATACAATAACAAAAATATGACACCCAAAACAGTTGCCAATTACAATTAGTAAGATTTAATTTAGTAATGATACAATAACAAAACAAAAGAAATATAATTACAAATCATCAACTTACAGAGTATTGGAAAATCTTGTACCGGTACACAATTAGTACAATGTGCCAATTAATAATGATGAATGATGAATGCAAATTAACACATATGATCACACAAAGAATAATACAATTGTCTCGTAAAGTTAATAATATCTCTCTGAATCTCTCTCCCTCGCTCTCTGTGTCTGTCAATCCCTTTATATATGCAGCGTAAGCACTGCCTTCGAGAAGCTACTCAGCATTTGTTTACTTTTCTAGAACAAATCGTGATCATTCCACAACAAACTAGGAGACATACTAACCATGTTTAATTGGTAGCCGGTAGTAAACAAGATACATCAAAGAGTTTTAACCACGCCCACAACAAACGTTACCGTCTGCTAGGAGTCTAATGCGTGGTCAAAGAAAGTATAGTGAGATGCTGGAGTATATTGATCGCTTTCATTTTGAACTCCAGATCAGATCATCAGCGATCAAGAAAGTAGCAGATATGTTTGGTGGTTTCAACCCTAGAGTCTACTATCAGCAAATCAAGAAGAGTTATTGGTGTCTGTTCCAAAATTAACCTCTTTCTATGAGTTATCAGAAGATGAACTTTTTAAAAGAAATACCAAGGCTTAGAAGACACCTAAAGGCAGCTGATATTGAATATCACAATGTCATGGACAGGTTTTGAAAATCATAGCTCAATGGGACTTCCTAGAATTTCTTCCAAAGCTCTCACTATGCCTCCAATTATTTCTAACGAAGTGTGTGTCTGTGACTTCATGTGGGCGGATCTTTTCAAAACTAAGGCTTATCAAGAACTATTTACGATCCACCAAGGCTTTCTGATCTGGCTCTACTATCAAATGAAAGTGATGCATTAAAGGATATTGATTTTGATCAAGTGATTGACAGGTTTGCAGATTTGTTACAGTTTTTAAATACATTTATCTCCTGACCTTCAATTAATTTGGTTTTGTTCTTGTCCTTCTTATACTGTGAACTTATTTTAACAAGTAGATATCCATCGTGGAAGTCAGGGAAAGGGGGGGGGGTGTGTGTGACTGTGTGTGAGACACCTTGAGTTACTGCACCGGTTGACACCAATCCTAGCTATGCCACTGGTTCTTCTGATCTTTGCTTTCATTAGGGACTTGTGCCATTCTTATTCTTTTCTTTCATTTTTTAGGTACAGGTATGATATACATAAATTATGTAAAATAATTTTATAATTATATTAATATTTGTTGTTGTACTGATGAAGGTATTTGAAGAAATGTTTGAATTTGTTAAGACATTTAAGGATCGGAAAGTCAATAAGGCAAAAAAAACAAAAACTTTGAAATGTTCAATAATCCAGACATCTGTACAGGATGTCACCTCAGTGAAACTTAGAAAGTTATTGGAAGGTCCGGCTAATCTTAGCTGCCGATTAACATGCACAATAAAGTAATATCAAAGAGTTTCATTTTCATAGTAAAAGGTTATTTATTTCTCATTAAAATTCACATAAACTTTAGCAAAATTCAGCTGAAAAATTGATTTGCTTCCAATGTAATCTAAAACAACTGAGTGGAAATATAAAGACTTAATGACGTGGTCAGTTCCATTCAATGACAATACAAGGTAACAAAAAAAGTTTCATCCACATGATTAGGCCTACCATGTTCCATTTGTCCTATACTCCAGCACACATCTTCAATTGGTAGACTTTTTATTTCTTCTCGATTATTGTAGCTCCCCTCAAACAAGGCAGATGAATCTTCAATTACACTTGCATTTGCAGCCATTTGTAAAAATTTGCTCTTGGTTAAGACCAATAAGGGATCTAGGTCTATATCAGTTTTCTTTTGACTTTCATCCATTCTTAGATGAAGATTCTACAATGATAATAATATTAATAGTAAATTAATGAGTAATCTCTTATTTCAATGCATTAAATGGGCATATTAACAATGTATGTAACCAAGCAAACAAGACCCTAGCGTTCTTAAGGCGAAATCTAAAGATTGGCAACTCCTGTGTGAAAGAAAGAGCATATAAAGCCTTTTTCCATCCGATTTTAGATTATACATCTTCAGTCTGGGACTCATTTACCCAGAAGAGCATTGATAGGTTGGAGGCGGTCCAGCGACGAGCATCACGCTTTGTCCTAAACCGCTACAGGAATACCTCTAGTGTTGGCAGCATGCTGGAAACACTAGGCTGGTCGCCATTGGAGAAACGACGACGACAATCCAGGATCTCCATGATGTACAAGATAATTAATGGGCTGGTCCACTGTTCCAGTTTTTAAACAGAAACTCGTCCCTCTCCCCCATAGACAGCGACGAGGCCATGACAGGCAATTCAGGCTCATACCAGCAAGAAGCCAGTATGGGAGCTGCTCATTCCTGCCCAAGACAATCAGGGACTGGAACAATCTTTCAAAAGAAACGTTTGAGGTGACAACACTAGACACATTTGTGTCTATTGCCTCAAGCCTTCAAACCCCTAGTGCATGATTCCCTCACAAAGTGGCACTGAAAATATGTGAAATTTCCTCATCAACACCAGGAACAGAAACATTGCAAATCCCATCTACATGCATAGGAGCCAAAATGATCAATAAATTGATCGTGGGCCCTTAAGATATAGAAGAAGAAATTAAAATGCAATTGTACAGTGCACACCATTAAGCGTTTTAAATTAATTAAAAACTCCCTATTTATATTAAAAATAATAAAAGAATTATAATTAAGCCAGTAGAATGTTATATAAATTTACGCTATCCTGGTCCAGTCTTTTTGCACTGCTAAGGCTACTATTTTTGACATGTCCACCATCTTTTAAATCTTTGTTGCCTGGAGGTTTCCTCTCATGGCAATAAAGATGGAGGCAGTCAATGTTCCCTTTAAGCTGCACGGCCGCGCAGCTCACACACAGACGCCGCGCAGCAGTTTTGAGTATCCGCGCAGCATGTAAGTATGTGTTTGTTGGTTGTAAAATTTTGCACACAAAAATTCTGATGCTGTAAAACTTTGCACACAACTGTATCATTTTGCACATGAACCAGCAAACCTTAGAGGGAACATTAGAGGCAGTGTAAAGAAAAAAAGCAGTGCAAATTGACTAGGGCCAGGGCAAAAATGCGAAGGGAAAAGGACCTGGACACGCATAGCTGCTTTTCGGACCCGAGTCCCTTTAGACTAAATGCTATTTGGATTTAATTTGTGGTATTTTATTTTAATTAAAATGAAGAACTAAGTTACAAACATATAGATAATAATATAGTCCATTCAATTATCTTTCATTTGATACCAAATTTTGACTTACAACCCAACAATAATATTTTTTTAATCACAATCTCTCACTTCTGGGACTTGGGTGCCTATAGTTATAGCCACTTCGTAACTATAACTTATGATTTATGTCACTTATGTCAAGTGATGAGAGAACAACAAGAAAGAATTTAATTAGTAGTAATTATGTGCACAAAACTGACACAAGAGAGACGAGTTCGCTTACACTTACACGGTCAATAAGAACCAGAAGAAGATTAAAATTTATCATAATAGGTTCATGATTTAATGTATCAGAAAACTTTAATAGTAGGCTATAGATATAGTTGGTAATCCCTTATTAAGCAGACACTACTTAAACTTAATTCTAAAATTTTTGTTTACATTTTTGTCCTTACCGCTAATAATAATAACAATAATAAATGTTATATAACAGTCACTTGCAGTAAAAAATGAAAATTATTGTTAGCAAACTAATTACATTTTCTGGAAATTGTAAAAATATACTATAATTTGGCACAGTAACCGTAAAATAAATTATTGTACCGTGTAGGTCCTACCAGTGTTGAAAAAAACAATTTAAATAAATAAAGTTTAATAATACGAAGGCCTTGTTATTGTTAAGGTTAATATCCTAAACTAAGTCCATGGTTTTGCTAGGTACACCGCAACGGTGTACGCAGGGCTAGGTACACCGTAGCGGTGCACGTAACATAAAATTTAAGTTGCATGCAATTAAAATTAATTATGCTAATAAAAACTACTGGTAGGCCTAATCATAAAAAAACAGTTTTTTAAAATATGAGTTAAGATTTGAAGAGAAAAAATATGTAGTTTGTTAGGGGCCATCCATTTAGTACGTACGCAAAAAAAGACACATTTTCGCGCCCCCCTCCACCTTGTTACACGCGAACATTTTGGACCTTCCCCCCCCCCCATGTGAACGTACACGTAGCTTTCGACCCCCCGTTCCCCCACCACCATTAACAATAAAAAAAAACCCTTTTCCCGCCCCCCCCCCCCCTGTTAACCGCCGAAAATTTGGGCCCTCCCCCCCCCCCCCATGTGAACGTACACGTAGCTTTCGACCCCCCGTTCCCCCACCACCATTAACAAAAAACCAACAACGAAATCAAATAATTTACAGATGTTTGTGATGTCACAGAAATAAAAACAAACACATTGTGTCACGGCCTTAGACCTTCGACTGTTTGGCCAGCCCATTTGTTCCCATAATATAAACCCCATCGCTCTGGGTGCCATGCCACCCTCAGGCAGAGCCATGCTATTGATAATGGGGCAAAGAGGGCAGCCACACTGGGTGCCAACATCATGGGCGCCAACATCATGGGCGCTCACATCTTAATAGTGAATAGAATGCTAAAATTCCATATGATAGGTCTTTTTACTGTTCCATCCCGGGGGCACTTTATTCTTTTTATAAAGTGGCACCCGTTTCCGGCATCGCCCCAGGTGCCACATTTCCTCGGCATGGCCCCGTCATGGGTTGCCTCAGCTTCCTCACAGGGGCGCCGCGAAACATTACACTCTTCATCATTTTATTTCCACTTTTAATTTAATGTGACATCTAGCGGTCTTGGTGCAAACGCTTGAGTAACTATGGTTTGCATTTATTAGATTTTTACCCAACACTTAATTTTATTATGTTTCTTTATTCGCTATTTTGAAATATGCTTGTCAGAATTTAACAAAGGGTGCCTGGTAAAAAAGCTAAATTTGGCACATGCGCTGGGAATCGAAAAATTTGAGGAACCACTGGCGTAGCCTAGTATACGTCACACCCAAGTCAACATACGGTGGACGAAATATTACTGTAATACTGCTACTACTGAATACTATTTAAGCTGAAAACACATGGCAAAATTTGCCGTCAAAATTATGACGATAATTCTAACTAAAAATAGCATGATATTTTTTTACAGCATTCGATGTGCTATTTTTGGACTGTCCGCATTTCAGGATGAACATTATAGAATTGTTGAATAAATGTACGTACTTTCTGCCGAGACTCCCCCCCCCCACCACCCGACACACGTTCGCAAAATCGCCAAAATCGTCCCCCCCCCCTCCTTTTTTTTTTTACTAAATGGATGGCCCCTTATCTCATTGTTTTGTTAATTATATTTCATTAGATAGTGAGTGTAGTAGGTCTGGGCTGGGGCCCCTTGAGACCCGTGGGCTAAAATGATTGAACATATTGTACGATGACATAAATTAAAAAGACGAAATAAAAACAAGTGGAACCAAATACTCCCTGAAATGCTTGACATTCTTTATTTTTATGTATTAAAAAAATGCCATCACTTACAAATCGCTCATTGTGCTATTCGGCTCTGATGCTCATATAACTTATTATAACTCAGCTCCACAACTTACTCGGCACCACTCGCAGACAGCAGTTGGCCTATTTTTTTTTTTTTTTTTTTTTTTTTTTTTTTTTTTGTGTGACCGGCAAGTGCACCAGCCCTTCAGTCCCCCTCCCCCCCCCTTTCATCTTTTCCACCCCGGGACAGCGATGTTTCACTATGTGCCAAAAGCACTAAATTATAATTATTAATTTTTTTTTTTGGTTGGGGTGGGGGTTAAAAGTCCAACCCGGATGGAAAAAATATCTCGCCTAAACAATGGAAAATCCATCTTAAGTTTTAAAATCAGTTATTCTGAGTGATTTTCCTCATCGTTCATTCATATAGAAATTTAAGGTAAATGTGCTAAAGCAGTGTTTCCTAAAATTTCCAAAGTTTGTTGAACAGGTGGAAAAGTTTTAAAATTGCACCAGAGATCGATTTATTAATTGTATTTTCTTTTTATTTGACCATCAATATTCATGCCGTGGAAGCTGGCAACGTCAGACTCGTTGACCTGTGCCAGTCCGCGGACCTGTGCCAGTCCGCGGACCACCACTTTGCACCATAATTTTCTAGTAGACTGTAGACTGTAGAGTTTAAAGATTCAAATCAGAGTTTAGAACTACTGCTACTGCAGCATGTTAACTAGTTCCACATACTATGACAGACGATCTTGATGTTAAAAATCTGCTGAAAATATGTGTCCTTGTTAGTGTTTAGTTTTCATTTTAGATAGCGAATCAGTAGCCAAGCCAAATTTACCCACGCACATATTATGATATATGACGAGACGTTTGACATCTTGGTAATAAGATACTAATTTTCTATTTTTAACAACACGAATTTAAAACATTTAGTGCCTATCGTACATTATGTGCTTTTCCTCATCTTGAAGGTATTTTGACCAAACCTTGAACTTGGGCGAGGGAGAGAGAGAGAGAGTGAGAGGCTGACGAATTACGCAACTCTTCATATCTGTAAACAAATTACAGCGCCAGTCAAGGCTGCTACTTGTCTATTTTTAAGCTTTGGTCACCGTCACAATAATAATAATAATAATAATACACAACGGAATTGGCAATACTCCAGGATCGACTCATCAAACAGTAAACGGCTACGTCAAAGTAAACATTTGTGGACCCAAACAGTACAGGTGCAAATGCTCAACGGTCAGAGCATTCCTGGAAATCGGTAAAGGAGAGCAACAAGTACCCCAATGGTCCACACTACAAGCGTTAAGACGTATACTGGACTCTTACATGTGCGAGAACATGTATAGCGGTTTGACACATTTGTCGCCATTCTTACAGACATTTTGCAATTTGTCCTCCAAAAACCGCAGTAACTGCCAATATACCATGACTATGGACCAATCATTTAGATATTAATAAAACAGTTAATAAAAAAAAAATGGAGCAGGCCTTCCACATAAAGAGTGTCAGGTCCTTTAATTAAAAAAACAAAACGCCATGACTTCGTTCTTCCCCTTAATATGTATATTCATCCCCGTATTATTTCCCAATCAAGTAGGCTTGAGTATGAGTATGACGATAGTGCAAGTTTGCACGGCGAGATTTGCAGATCTCCCCCCCCACGCATAGCTGCTATTCGGACCCGGGTCCCTTTAGACCGTGTCAAACTCAAGGCCCACGGGTCACATCCGGCCCGCCGTACAATTATATCGGGCTGTTTCGTAACCCATTAGTCATAGACGTGGAAATTACACCTGTAAATTTGCAGATGGAGCTAATATAGATGCAGTAAATTGGGACACTAAAGGCAAAGTACGACACAGTGGGGTCTGCACAGTTTACTCGTTTCATTCTAAGAGATGCCTCAGCTTCGTCTACACGCGGCTCGAACATTGAGCATTTTGGGTATCATGTAAATGTATGAGCAGCTGTTTTCTGTGATGAAGATTTAAAAAAACACCACGCAGGAGTCGTCTCACTGATGAACACTTGCAGGTTATCATGAGAATCTCCATGACACAGAACGCTACTCCCAACAGAAACGAACTTACTTCTTTTTGAAGCCAAGAAAATGTGCCAAAAATCCAGCTCTGACAAATTGGCATAAGAACGAAAATGGGGATGTCAATGATTTTTAATTATTAAAACTTTTCCCTGTTTTCATTTATATAAATGTTGTTTTTTTTAAAAAAGATTAATTTTCCACTTATTGAATGTTCATTCTGTTTGGCCCGCAACCTTACATGTGATTTGAATTTTGGCCCGACGAGCGATTGAGGTTTGACATCCTGCTTTAGACTAAATCCCATTCGGATGTCATTTGTGGTAGTTTATTTTAATTCAACTAAAGAAGTAAGTCTACAAAATTATGGTTCATTCAATTATCTTTCATTTGATGGGTGCGAATAGTCGCAGCCAAAAATAATAATCATAAGTTTTACAAAATAATCCTAAAATGTTTTCAAGTTTATTTTTTCTGACCATATCTAACAGCAGAACGTCATAACGGCCGAATTTCTTATCGTTTTATCTCTCTGTATGTTTCCTTTTTGTGGATTTAGTCAGTGAATGAGCAACTTATGTGAGTAAGACACGGTTCTCTGGTGGAGTGCAGACATATTATGACATTATGTGAGTAAGACACGGTTCTCTGGTGGAGTGCAGACATATTATGACATATTTCTCTTTAATACACATAAACTCATTCCGACCTGCTGTCGGGCGTTTCAGTCTCACGCTGTCTATAAATTAGGATCTACTTCACCACTCTCTCTTAAACAACTTATTTTTATCAACACGTTATGCCTTATGACATCTAGACACAAGAATACGACTCATTCTCACGATCTCAAAGTGTTCACTCTTAGATACCGCGAGTTCCAAACCTTAAATGTACATTTATGAAACATCTTGCTTTAATTGCGATCAACAATTCGACATTTCATCATCAAAACTAATGCAGCCGCCACTCCGATCAACCAGATCTTTCTTTGTGTAGGCCTACAAAGTACTATCAGCCACTGTTGCTAACTCGGACGTTTTCAGTTTAAAAAATAAAATAAAAACGCTTTCAGTTTTAAAAGATCTAGGCCTATAAACCACTAAAAATCTGAAAATAATAAAAGATTTCTTAAAATGCATTACGCGAAGAAAAACTGTGCAGAAGTGAAGATTTTCACTCTGTGTAGCCAAAATATTTGAATAGAATGTAGACGAAACTTAAATGCCTTTAATTAATTTTTTCAAAGTATTTTCTGCACAGATTTTCTTTCCGCCCTGCTTATCCATAAATGGTGAAACAGACTGCACTTGTGTGCATCGAAGGAGACGATGGCAGGTCTGTGGGGTGTTAAGTAATAGTAACATCAGGGAATGAGAACAATTTTTCAAGTATTTCTATAGGCTAAAGACAGAAAGATTTATTAAAATTAAATTTTAAAATGTGATTTAATTTTGGAAATAAGTGAATTAAAAAACAGGGCGGAAACAGCTGCAAAAAGAGCGAGGAGGAAGGCCGGTAAATACTGCTCCACCGCATTCGTGTGTGGGAAATGTAACAGAGACTGCCATTCGAGGATTGGTCTCACCAGCCACACCAAGAGACGGAAAGATGCCATACATACAAGTGAATTATTATTATTATTTTTTTGTTCAAATGAATGAGCTCAACCACACAGCATGAATGGTCTGTATTTAATGCTGAATTAACCTAACTTAGGGCTGGGACACTGTGATGAGGGATCCATTTAACAGCTTTTGGGTGTGGGGTGTGTGCTTGATTTGATCTTGAATGTCCTTGCAATGACATGTGTAGAATAACTGATGAGCATACCCCTACTTGTTATAACAAGTTATAGATTATGCAAATGGGGAGAAAAGAAAAAGGATTTTGAGAGACTGTCATCTTTTGATGCACTTACTGCATTGTATGAATTTGATGTTTACAAAAAAACCCCTTCAAATTGGCAAGTTAAAAGCTTTAAAATGAACAATTAATTTTATTTCCTCTGACAGATAAGTCCTAAAACAATTGGAAAATGTATCATAGAATGCACCTAAAAACCACATTTTCAATGCAAAAATAAAGTTTAAAATTATTTTTTAAAATTGAAGATATTTTATGCAGCTTTCTTTTTTTTTTATATGCACTATTGATATCTGATTATAAGAACTTACCTTTAAGCTATGTTTTGATTTCTTTTTATATCCTTTTCCTATACTGTATATACAAAGTATTTGGTTTGAGCAGCAGTGACAATATATTGTGGAAGGTTGCTAAGTAAAAATGTTTTCCTACACCAGTGCCATAGAACACTAGGCCCACATAGTAGTCTACAGTTTCAGGTTCTATAACACAATTTGAGAAAGGACAAAAACAGATGTATTTGGGACCACTAACAATAAAGACATGAAAAAAATGAATGTATAATAATTGTTTCATAGTCATTTCCCTGTTTAATAATTCAACATTTTAAACAATGTATAAACAAGATTTATGCCACACATTAGTTACAATCTAATAAAAATCAATATACATGAAATCTCAAAATAAAATATTATTTACATTATTTAAGGTCAACATAATTTTAACAAATTAAGTACCTTCAATTATAAAGATTAATTTACATTCTGACATCTAAAACTTAAAAACAATAATTTAAAACACTAATAAAACGTGTATGCCTAAATATTAAAAGCAAGTGTTTAACTTAACAAATACATTTTTCTCTCTTCCTTCCTTTTTGAATGTCTTAAAATAACTTATAATAATAAAAAAATTATCTTAAAGGACAGGTCATTTTGGGATCCATCAAATTTTAATCTCTTAAAATGTTTTGCACAGACATCAAAGTGTGTGTCAAAGTGTAGCTATCTGTAGGGAGGTGAATTAAAAAAGGGTAGGGAAGAAATTGAAACAGACTGACAGACAGACTTCATGTCATGTAAAGTTTAATAAAACTATTAAAAAAAAAGTAAACATGATGCATTATTATTATTTAAAAGCAAGGTTAGTTTTAGGTTAAAAAAATAGAATTAACGCTCTAGTAGGAATAAAAAAAAAATAATATTTAGCAATAAAGTAATAAATGTTTTAATTGGCTAAATTATAAAATAATCAACCTGTAATGCTTTTGCTAAGTAAATTCTGCGGTAAAGAATGCTGAGATCTGGCAGACTTTAAGGATCTGTTGGTTTTCAAGTTTTCTGCGGGCAGTGAGGAGTTCGACTCAGATTGTAATGCATTGCTGTTTTGAGGAAGACTACTTGCTGGGTCAACAGATTTTAGAATGAATTTCTCCAAAAGTTGATTCACTTCATCTGGGGCCTCTATCATCACCATGTGGCTGGCATCTTTGATCACTTCTAGCTTGGAGTCAAATATTACCTAAAAAATGGATCAACAATTATGAATATGATCATTTGTATTTTATCAAAATTGAAGAAAAAAGTTTGTAGGCCTAAGCTTATTAACCCATTAAAAAAAAACAACAACAACAATGGGATGTCATATTTACACCCAAGTTCCCATCATGAAACTGATGACAGTTTTGAAAACTGCTGATTTAATTTAAAACATTATACTGTAAAGTAATGTTGCAATGTCCTTGTTTCTGTGGGAACTGACAACTTATTTGGTCTACATGAGATTCTACATTAAAATTGTCAAATTTAATCTTATACTGGTAGTGCAAAGATGATTGGCCATTGGCCCAACCTTTTTTAGGGTGAGAGTGTGTTACTAAGGATAATTTTTGTGTGAAAAATAGGGCTAGAGTCTTTAAAAAAAAGTTTGTGCAGGATCAAAAGCAGACAATGAATAAATGACATCTCGGTCACTTAAATTAAATCTAGGCCTATAATAATTATAACTAATCAAACCTGAGCCATGTCCTCTTCATCAGACAATGACACTAACTGATCCTGAGCGCCATAGATAAGTAGGCATGGGCAAGTCACCCAGTTGTGAAATAGTTCATCTCCATCGGGCCAGTCCTGTCCATTCATGATGTTCTGTAGAACATATGCTGGGATATTAAATGCCTCCTCTTTAGGAATAACTGGAGTTCGTGTCTTGTGAAATGCACCTCTTTTTTTTTTTAGAAAATAAACCATGATGAAATATAATATACAAGCCTAGCTCAAGAGAATACTTTTAAAATGTTTATTTCTTGAAATTATAATGAGTAGTGGTATAATTATGTAAAGCTTAGCAGGTAAACTAAAACTGTTTGCATCTCAGATTAAGTAACTTATAACAACATTTTTTTTTAAAGCCGATAATCATTTTTATTGTAAATCTTATTTTGTACATACTTGTGAAATCCACATACAAGACAAGGTTTTATACAGGCGAGCATGCAATAAGGTAAAGTGAAAACACCAGCTTGGGGTGCTAAGGGTGTTGGGGGTCCTCCACTGATTAGAATCAACTTATTCACTCGTCTTGGGCGGTTTCTAGCCAAAAATGTTGCAAATGATGCACTGAAATATATAAAATACTGATAATATAACCAGTATAATTTAAATAAACATGTGAATTTAAACATTTAGAACGAAATAATTTTGATGAAGAAAAATTAAGTCTATATGGTTTATCCTAGTTGTAAAGGAAAGAAAGAATTTAGCCTATAAATTGTATGCGCCACTTATCACTCAGAGTTTATTGGTTTGTAAAGTTTCAAGTCTGATATGAAGTTTTGATAAGGCTTTAATCCCATTTCTCAGAGGTAAAATGGAAAATTATTGTGATAACAGTGAAAAAACAGAAGGGTAATAAGGTCTAGTAAAAATTGGCTAGTAAGAAATGTTTATAATTGTTAAATAACTTTTACAATACAGGTTCTGCAAATCTTTATACGATTTTCAAACTCCATATCTTCTCTTTTTCCTTTCTAAAGTTCAGGTAAATAAAAATATAAAGCAAATATACAAAAGTAAAAATACTGTTACAGTGTATATTGCATATATAATGTTCAGATTTACCCATAAGAATGTCCAATAATAATATTTCTCCTCTTGCAGTATTTATCAAATACTTCTTCAAGATCTGCAGCTATTTCTTTGAAGTGATATGCCTTAGCATTTCTTGGGGCAAAGCTAAATCCATGACCTATCAAATCTGGTATAACAACTTCATAGCCAAGATTGGCAAAATACTGGGCTTGAGAGTACCAAACATCTGATGAACCACCAACTCCATGAATAAAAAAGAGGACCAGATCTTTATCTACTACTACTGGTACTATATAATTTTCACTGGATGTTGAAGGACCATCAACACTATCAGAACTGGAACTTTCTTTATGCTTTTGTTTCTTAAATAATTCTGGATAGAATGAAGCATCATTGTGTTTTTTTTCTCTGGTAGGTAGACTTAAGGCCCCAGGAGGACAACTATAACTTTCATCCCCTTCCATTTGGAAATTATTGATTAGTGCAAGATCCAGGTTAGTTCCAGTTCCATGGTTGAGCTGCTGAATCTTCACAAGGGTATTTTTACTTGATTCTTGAGAGGTCTTAGTTAATGTGTTTTCCTGATTATTTAGAAGCAACATTTTGTTGCGAAGTGCAAGTTGAACACTTGATGCTGATCTGATTTCCGCTGTGGCATTTAGATGAGATGGGGATGATGTCAGGCTGCTGAGAGGTGATATAGTGTTTTTCCCTGGTGAATTCATGTTTGATCTTTTGGAAGCATGACAATCAGATTGTGATTCTGAATTATTGTCATGACTGTCTTCTGCCGCTGATGTTCCTGATTTTAAATTTTGCTGAGGTATTTTATTTGTAAAATCCTTTTTATGCTTTTTGGGCATTGTAAGAGGACCAGATGAGGAAATGTTTTTTTTTCTATACTGAGTGTAGAGCTGCATCTCTTTTTCAAATTTATCATCTCTTGGCCTTGAATTAAAATGCTGAATCCTAAGTATACGAGAAGGACGAATCTCAATCAAAGAACTGTTACTTTCAGCTGGGCCAACCCGCTTCTGCTTTCTACCAGACATGAGGCCAAGCCTTTGGTAAGCATATGCTTTTCATCATTCCTAGAACAACGATAAACAAATTAATGGAGGCAGTTACATTTTATTTATATTTGTGGTACATAATTAATATTTATAAAAATAATTTTAACACACACACATACACAATTTCCTAGTAAATGTCATGAAAAAGACAGTGCAACACTCACTGGTATCAGCGGTATTTGGCAAGGCCACCAGGCAAAAAATAAATTACCCAAGCATTCTGTGACCAAGTAATGATGTACCTATACTGTTTCTGGTTTATTTTGGGTTTTTAGACTTAGGCCTAGGCGTTAAGTTAAGTTAAAATATATAATTACTCGATTTCAATATCAATATCTATTCTTTCTCCTGATACGCTATTAAAACAATTTGTATAATTACATTTTATACTATACTATTTCTCCCCTGGCGCCAGCCCCCATACTCACAAACTGCTAAAAGTGCAGTTCAGGTGCGTATATTATTTCTGGTCGAATTTCGTATTTTTACGTGTAAATTAAGTGAATGTTTTTATTTAAAAAAAAAAATAAATAACATCTTTTTGTTGGAATACAACATTTAAAAAAAATTTTACAAGATAAATAAAGTACATTTTTATGGATCTTTTGTCTTTTATGGAGGCTTTTTGGTAAATCAAGGATAACTCTTCTGTCTTTAAAGATACGTTGTAAAAGTTGCCCAATCTGATGTATCTTGTTGTATTTATTTTATAACTTTACTAATCAAATATAACCAGTTATAGGGGACTCTCATACTTGACATATGTAGCCAGTTTACAAGCCACATTGCAATAGTTACATTCCATTTTTTTCTTCAAAGGTGAGCACCTTGCGAGAAATTCCACAGTTGTATTAATGTTATTTGTTGCCTCACAAAGTGTTCGTATAAACCAAATGCTGTATCATTTAAAATTTCCGTTGGATCAACAATTTGAATTATTGTTTCTTGGTCATCCTGCCATTTTGAACAAAGTGATCCCACTACCGCTGCCTTAGTCGGTAATCCACTTCTAATCCTCCACCCTCCCCCCTCACGACTTCAAGGGACAACCCGTATATTCTGAACGCTCTGAGTCTGAGAGGAAAAAAAAGAAAAGGGGGGGGGGGGTCTGGCGCTTGTTGAAAAATCCATTATTTCATTCTTTTTTGGAAAAATCCCTATCCTTAAGTTTGAAAATTTCTTTCATCCTGCCATTTTGACCAAAGTGATCCCACTACCGCTGCCTTAGGCGGTAATCCACTTCTAATCCTCCACCCCCCCCCCTCACGACTTCAAGGGACAACCCGTATATTCTGAACGCTCTGAGTCTGAGAGGAAAAAAAAGAAAAGGGGGGGGGGGTCTTGCGCTTGATGAAAAATCCATTATTTCATTCTTTTTTGTGAACATCCCTAGCCTACAGTTTGAAAATTTCGTTTAGCATACTAACTTATAAGTGATTAAAAACCTGGCCAGAGGATGGAAAAAAAAACAACAAAACAAATGGGGCTATGTAACTTTGGTTGGGGGATGTTTTAAGGCGCTTTAGAAATCAAGAAAAAAAGCGCTGTATAAGTATAATTCAGTATTAGTTAACTATAACTGCCTGTATATAATTAATAAAGAATACTAACACGCAAGTTTACATGAGAAAATACGAAATGCATTAAAAAATAATAAATATACGCCAATATGCACCTGAACTGCATAAACAACTTGGAGTGTGGCAGGGTCTGGGCTCTACACTAATAACTACACTTACGACATGGCCACAGCAAGAACCAATGACAATGCCCATGATATTTCTTTTAATTTATAGGCCTACGCCTACTGCCTACTGAAACAGTACTCAGTACACAGATGGTATGCTTATAACTAAGTCTAATATTACTAACAACTAACTTAATTAGTCTAAAACTTACTTTACTGACTAACCTAAGCTAGTAACTAGGCACTAAAAGTAATTAACAATCAATGCGCCACTGTGAATCATATACTATGCCGTCTATGCTGCTGTTGGGGCACTTGGCACTTGCAGTACTATTATATTACAAAAGAAATTAAAAGTATTCTACCAAAAAATACCACAAATTAATTAACAGCAACACAAAATTTCAGTACCTGTTGAACAAAAATGTGCAAAACTTTAACTATCAATCATTTAAAGAATTGCTGCATATTTTATTCTTAAATAAATTTGGTTGTTTACTCATCTCTAAGTTACAGGGTAATGGCGACGCCCAAGCTTCCGTTTTTGAAAGATTCCTAAAAACTGTCCTACGTCGAGAAATCAATTTTTAACCCCATTTTAAAACAACAGAAACAGGACCTACCACCCCCACCCCCACCATTTTTTTTATCCTACAAGCATCTCCCCAGAAAGATACCCAAACTTTCTAACCAGCTTATTTCATGTTCATTGTATTTTTGAAAATTAGATTATAATTTTGTAACAGTTAAAATATGTATCTACTGATAAAGGTGCATGATTGATTGGCTTCACAACCAGTGATTATTTCAGACATTTTCCCACGCGAAAAAAAGGGTGGGGGCACTTCATATTTTTCTTGGGGGGGGGGCAGTGCCAGCAGTGCCAGTTGATTTATTGTTGGATATATTTTAGCTCCGGGGGGGGGGGCCCTTGGTCTTTCCCCCCACCCCCCCCCCCCCTATAGCTGAAAGAAACCCTATTCACGACATTCACGTACGTTATTTTTCCAACATATTCAAACATGTCGTAGGTGGGCCAGCTTATTATTTTTTTTTACTCATTTGACACATCTGATACTTCAGCACAGGGGTCAGCAAACTACCTTCCGCGGGCGATATCTGGCCCCGCGGTGTCCATAGTTATTTTGATCTCCCAGAAGAATTACAACTGGGTAGAACACTTTGAAAGGGTAGAAAAATATATTGACCAGTAGTATTTGGACTGGACAAAAATGAAGTCCGCCACAACAGATATGGTAAAAACGTGCAATAAATGAGAAACGTTTTCTAGGGAGAATTTACAAAGTTGTTCAAAGTGTTAGCAGTTCAAACGGTTGTTGGTTCAACGTGTTGGCGGGTCTAAGTGTTGTCTGTTCAAAGTGTTCAAAGGCTATTGTTCTTCATTGCATCTCTCTCACCAAAAGGAACTATTTGTAAAATATCTGGACTTATCTTTTGTTTTGGAATCTGTGATTTCATCATTGTGTAAGCATTTAGGGGAAAACTAATTATTTTTGAGTTCCAGTTGGTTCTTAAAATTACAAAAGCTTAGAGAATCGGTCCTTGAAACTAAAATTGAAAAGATATCAGCAGGATTTGTTCCTGGCGATGACCTGCCTTTAGAGAGCCTGTTCCTGGAAGCTTGGAATGCCCCCATTGCAAGCCTACACGAGCTATGCATGTTCTAATGACAATATTTACAAAATCGCCCTCTTACTTACTAAAAAAAAAAAAAACACACAAAAAAAAAAAACACCAACGTCCGGAATGAACTTTAATGGCCAACTCCAGACACTTAAGTTTTGGAACTAATTTTGATTTCTTGTTGTTTCTTCATTGGCCCTGTCTGCTGATGAAGGCTCTTAGCCGAAATGTTCTTTTTTTAAAATTTTATTATACTGTTTTTGTATTTCAAGCTTCCACACCAAGTTTCACCTTTTCCTTCACACACCTTGTTTCACATTTTCCTTCACACACCAAGTTTCACCTTTTCCTTCACACAGCTTGAGTGCAGTCCATTAATATTATCCTTTCGGGTGTAGGCCGATTGTGTTCAGGCCGGCAGGTAGGGTGTAGGGTTGTCTGTAGGCCTATTGTTTAAAGGCTGGCCTACAATAGAGAAAAATGAGAAGTTAACTTTTTTTTTTGTAGCACTTTGACCCGGGGTAAAAAACAAAAAAACAAACTACACTCGGTTTAAGCCCTAGAATTAATGAATTTGTCTTTGCAATTAAAAAGAAACTAATTCTAAATTCAGTTTCCCCAGAATTTAACATAAATTACTTCCCTTGTCTTAGTTGCCTGCCGAAGTCGCATGATGTTCGTGTTGGAGGAGTAACAAGCACCCAAAATTTGATCTATATTTATTATATATTCGTTTTTTTTTTTGTTTTTTTTTTTGTTATTTTTTGGTTTTGTATAAGTAGCAGAAATTATGAGATTATAATATAATTTATTATCTCACAGTTCTCTTCCTGCCGAAGTCGCATGATGTTCGTGTTGGAGGAGTAACAAGCACCCAAAATTTGATCTATATTTATTATATATTCGTTTTTTTTTTTGTTTTTTTTTTTGTTATTCTTTGGTTTTGTATAAGTAGCAGAAATTATGAGATGATAATATAATCTATCATCTCACAGTTCTCTGTGAAACTAGAGTTGGGAGAACCGTACATGTTTCATTAAACGAAGGCTACACGACACATGCCCACGAACGAAGAATTCAATGTACGACAGGTCGAGCTCTTTACTGTGACCTTAGACCGGTTACGCTGACAAATAATCAATTCAGCAGCACGACCCCCCCCCTCCCCCAAGGGCACGACTCGGACTAAGAAGATGTCGATATCATCACGGTGGGTGTAACAAACCGTGCAGCGCGTGCTCTTTGAAATATAACGACGCCTTTAACGAAAATTCAAACAAAACTTGTCTTTCTGAACGTCTACTTTTCACCACATCGAAGTTGTCGGTTTTTGCAAAATGAACTATCTGGCTTCGAATAATTACCTTTAAACCCCATGTTCAGACTGATCTTAAGGAAACCTGGCTTTCATTCATTAAAAATTAAATAATACAACAGAAAAAAGAAAAAAAAGACAAGATAAGAATCGAAAACACAGAAGCTGGGAACACATGATTATTTGAGTTAGAGAATATAACATATTATTGAAACTGTCAATGAGGCTATTTAAATACGTGTTCAATTGGTGCATACACTTTTTCCATAAATAATCGATGCTTGTAAACTTAGGAAGATCGAGATCGCATTAGATCTATATTTAACCCACGTGAACACAAAAAAAAAGTGTTACCATACTGAATAACACCAGTAAAGCAAAAAGGAAAAAAAAAACAACAACAACAGGAGAATAGATATGATAACAGAAATGAAGAATGCTGAAAATTCCCCCCCCCTTTTTTTCCACAAAAAAACACCCCCCCCCAAACCCCCCCCCCCCTTTTTCCCCAAAGCTATACACGTGTTCTCCTTAAACGAGACCCTGAGAATAATGCGTTTGTCACCCCTGTCGTTCATAAACAATTGTAACGTTGACCCCCACTTCCCCGTTGTCACCGGTGTACGTCATCGTGCGTGGGTTGTACAGCTTCATCGTTAAAACAAACAGGTACAAAGCTTTTTCAAACGAAAAGTCGACGGAAAACAACGCACACGTTCGTCACGCCACACTATTAATGTTGTATTACAGTTACAGCCTACGTCTTGACTTTTTTTTTTTCTTTTTCACTTCGACCATAGAGTTTTTATTGCACTATTTGCACTCGTCTTCACTAGTAGTATAGCCTACTACAGCGTATGCCTTGTTCTTCACCTCAACATGAGAGCTATTTTCAGACAACACACTTTTCTCCGTTAGTATGGCCTTGACGTGGACGTCATCGTGTCATTGTGCCGCGTCACTTGTTCCGTGCCTACACCTTTCTTGGCCGGGAAAATGCGTTCCGTTTATTCTAAAGATTGCCATTAGGGGGCCGCAATTTCTAGAATTTCTGCACGAGAACGTGCTTGGTGGGTTCATCTGTACAGTCGGCACGCTTTCTTAGCAGCGTGACATAAACAGCGCGAGAGAGATAGAGCGAGCCAGGAAGAGACTGTTGCTACACGAGTCTTTATCTACAACTGTGCGTGTGTAAATGAATATTTGTATTTTAAGGAGTGTGCCTTTTTTTTTGGTGTAAGTTGGTACAGTTTTTGTGCTCCTGTACTTAAATAATTTGTATTTTTTTATAGAAATTTATTTGTATATTTAAATTAAATATTTTTTAGTATCGCTCAGAGTTTGTTGCGTATTTTTTCTTTTATTATACGATCCAAAATCTTAAACAGACAAATCTTGAAAGCAATAACGGTACGTAACTGTTAACTACAGACTTTATGAGTCATGAAAGATGATCTGGTCTCTAGTGTCTAGTCATTAATATATAGCTTTGTATGGAAACCCAAAAGTGTTTAGTTGGTTTATGTGTTTAAGAGTTTTCTTCGTTGACCCCCAGAAAAGGAGCAGCAGACCATCACTGCCATGGTATCCACCGGGGAAAAATGGAGAGAGGAAGGACAAAGCATACACAATCCTGGAATCAGCTGGAAAGATAAGCACAGGGCCGAGATGAATAGAGAGCATTCATAGAGTCAGCCTATACCACAGGCGTGCTAAATGGCATAAGCAAGTACAATTGTAAAACAGGTGGTAATGGGCATGAGTCATAAGTAAGTAAAATTGTAACACAGGTGGTAATGGGCATAAGTAATTACAATTGTAGCACGCAACCGAAACCTGACGCAATATATATATATATAAAAAAAAAGAATCATGGTTTAATTTCATGAAATTTTTTTACGTGACTACCAGGGCTGGACTCCACCAGGAACGCACGGGAGCGACGTTCCAATACTTTTTCCACGCAGCAGGTACGACGCCGTTCCCGCTAGTCCCTTGAGGTATATGCGAGCTGTGCGGCAGACATATGAGTGGGAGTTGATCCCCCACTGGGGTGCTTATTTGATTGGTATGGCCGACAGGTGAACTGATCTTCTTTTGTTTTACCCGGTATTTTTTAATTGAATACATGTGCAAACCGGCACCCTTACAAAGATAAATTGCGCACTGTCTTTTGTAAGAAATGAATACACACCTTGGGTGAATTTCCACACTATTTCCCCCCAGGGCTTGACCCCTGGATCCACTTTCAACGATGCATTAAGTTCTCACACCAAGAAGGCACACATGTTGTAATGCATGCGATCTGCATAGTTTTTACCACTTAAAGTGAATAGAAATAAATGGTGCAATTAAATAATAATATTTTTTTGAGCGAAGCAAAAAAAAAAAAAAAAAAAAAAAAAAAAAAAAAAATAAA